CTGTGGCTTCATCTCCTCCTCAACAGCCAGGGGAGGAACGGCCTTTCCTGAGGGTTTCCCACTGCAGAAGTCTGGAGTGGAGGTGGCTGGCCCTGGGTGCGCAGCCCACCAGGCCCGCCCAGCTCTGGTCCTCTGCTGCCCTCTTCTGTTGTTTGTCCCAAGTCGCTGCTGGCCTGTCCTGGACAGGGAACCTACCCCTTCTTCCAGTACCCAGCCCACCCCACCCATGGTTCCAGGGTATTAGGGGACTAATAACTAGAAGCAAGAGGACTGTGCTGGCCATTACTTCAAACTAGGAAGTGGGCCACTCCCTCCTTGGGCACAGCTGCCCGCCCCTTTGAGAACCCCGAGTGTCCCGCCCTCCAAGGGTCTGGCAGATGGCGAGCGAGACTAACACTGACACGCTCTGTATCTCAGACTCTACAGCCAACAAGGGCACAACTTGGCACCAAAACTCCAGCCACCCGCCCACACCCACGGTACTATGGAATCACCTAAAAAAGAGCTCAGTGGCGTGGGGGCCACCTGTAGCAGAAGACGCGCAGCCCCACGCTCACGAGGTCTGCAGTGCAGCTCAGCACCACCTGTGAGCCTCCAAGTCCTGTGCACACTGCCCCCACCCCGTCCCCGCATTCAGTCTTGGGGCCACCAGCCGGTGTCTGCTGCCCTGAGGACTCGGCAACCCCTCCCACAGGTCCTGTCTCAGCCCTTTTTCCAGTGAGGAGGCTCTGGGGGCAGCGGCTAGCAGGTGTCCAGACAGCACACCTGTCCTCTCCGGGGCTGGCCTGTCCCGGGGCCTCCCTGCACCCAGGGGACCTTTGTCCATTGTCCCTTTTCTTCCTATAAACCACCCTGTGCAGAGACCCATGGGGGGAAGGGTGGTGCACAAGGCCTGGACGTAAGGCCGGACATACCGCCCAACGACCCTGACGACTGTCGACACACCCCCTCTCATCAGCTCCCTCCAAGGGGCCCACCTGAAAGGACGACACCTGTCTGGAGACAGCAGGGAGGCTCCCTCTGGTGGCCAAACCTGGAGAGGCATCTGCGGCAGCACCCAGGCACAGCAAACTGCCGGCTGCTCTCTGGACTCGGCTCCTGCTCAAAGCAGTCCACTCTTGTTCCTCGGGGCACCCTCTGCACGAGGGGTGGGGTGAGGGGACAGTGGAGTGGGATGGTGACAGGTGAGGTGAGGCTGGGCACCCGCGCCCACCCCTCTGCAGCCCCGCCTCCTCTGGGGACACAGCCTGGATGAGGACACCGTGGTGCCTGGTTAGGCCAGCAGCACAGGGCACGGCCCACCTGTTCCCGGCATCTCCAAGGACAAGGATACTTATGGCGTTTTGCCCACGTGAAGGCTAAAGAGGGCTGCTACATTTCAAGACACCTCCACAACACAGAAGCACCTTCCAAGCCAGGCCACAAAAAAGCAAATGGCCTGTTGGCGGCTGTGGCACCGGGTCACGCCTGCCCACTCCGAGTCTGGGAGCAAGAAGAATGTGGGCGCAGACTTGGGCATGAAGCAGGTTTGCCCGCACCGGGCCCACACGCTCCATTCAAGACCCACAGAGCCCCAACCAGGAGCCAGAGAAACGGAGACGGCTCCTCAGTACAGGGCGCAGGCCCCGCCCCGGCTCATCGGACTGCCAGGCCACCCCTCTAGGACTGGCAGTCTCTGTAGTGAAACAGGGCAACGGCCTACCTACCTGTGCTCCACAAAGTCATCCTAAGGAAGTGACCAGAGCAGGGCACTGCTTCGCCTGGAGATGCCCAAGTGCCCCGTAACGACCACGGACCATCACGACAGCTCCAGGTTCCAGCAGCACCGCCTAGGAACCCGGCACGCCCCACCTGCTGAGTCCCTACAGCCCCCTCCCCCCTCCCTCCCATCCATCAGGTGGTGTTTGCTCCTACGGTCTAACCACCAGTCTGTCCCGGGGATGCTTTCATTGTTCTGTGAACCAGTAACACATGTGCAAGGCTGCATAAAAGCAAAACTGAGTTGCTTATGAAATTTTGTATTAAATTAGGTACAGGTGGAACTGATAAAAGATTGAATAAAGTTGTTTAAATAGTGAAATAGTTAGGGTCCCTCACAAGCTGTGTCTGAACTACCCATTGCAAAGGAAGCCCGTGCCACCCATCACTGGTGATGCCTTGGATGACTGAGTGAAGGCCCCGCCTCCAGGCTAGTGTCTCTCAATGTTCTGTTTACTGAAAGAACAGGCACACGATTGAGGTTAAACGACATGTGCCTGCCCCCCCCCACCCTATGCAAAAGGGGCCGTCTTTTGCCTGTGTTCCTGCCGGAACCATGGAAAAGTACTGGCAAGGGCAGCCGCAGCCCGGCCTGCAACGAGGGACGCCTGCCAGGAGCTCGACTTTCTTGGGGAGAGAGGGTGTCTTTGGCACTTCCAGAGCACTCTGTTTCCTCAGAAAGGCAGTTTTTAATCTATTTTTCCAGCCAAGGGGAACAAGAAAGAACGGGCCGTGGCTTCCACTCACCTGGAACCGCTCACAGCCCGTCTGTGCCTGAAGCAATGCAGCAGGCCTTCCTGAAAGTAAAGGACACATCTGCACCCGCCACGCCCAGCCCTTCGCCTCTGCACCGAGCGCCCAGAACTGACACAGGGACAGGATGATCATTATGTGGCTGGCCGGCCTCCAACATCCAGTCTGTACCGATGAAACTGTTCATCCGCAAGCATTCGAAACACGGAAATCTGTTACATAAGCTTGGAAGAAGTAAAATACACACCTCACAAACTGACTCTAAACTCTGAAAATGAATGTACAACAGTTTTTACTTTGTAAGTTCCTTCTTGACACCATGTTTCGGGTAGGCAGCTTCTGGGAAACATTCCTGTTACAAGTTCCACCGGACGAAGCTGGAAGGACAGAGTTGGAAGGCCGCTGCGGCACTGGGGGTGCAGCCAGGACCCCGTGTGCAGCAGAGGGACGCTGGGAACTTCGCTGGTGTCCTCGGCTCCTCTCCCAACAGCTGCGAGGAGGACCTTTTCTGCCTCATGTGGAGGAAAGACCATTTTAACGTGGCCGACGCCGAGCACAGACTAGCACAGTTACGGACGTGACAGGCAGTGACTCTGAAGTTCTCATCACCTGTCTCCTATAACAGGGACACAGCACCCATGACCCGCTCACTGGCTCTATGGCAGGACAGAGCCCAGAAAGAAACCTGTGGGCACCAAATGCCAACCAACACCTGGCCCGTGCAGAATACAAGTACCCACCAGAGCTCTGAAGTGAAAGGCAGAAGCCTGTTTTGAAGGGGCCTACAGAGCCCAAGGGGAGGTGGGGAGAGAAGGCAGGCCCCTCCCTCCGGACAGGCGCTGACTCTGTGCTCAGGGCCCTGCCACACAGACCCCAAGGGGCGGCCAGCCTCCCGCGGTGGGCACCTCAGATACTGCTGCCAAACGCAAAGTCCAAAACCTCGGCATCTTCACACCTTGTTTCTTGGAGCTCTGCATGGCAGAAGGAAGTGAGGACACTCAGGTTTTTGCCAGCCTGTGTCACCACAGGTGGCACCTCTGGCGTGCAGCTGCCGGCCAGCCTCCTCCTCCACGCGCCGGAGGCTGCGGGCTCCCTGGGAGACGCCTGGAGAGTGATCTGGAAGGTGAGCTGGGGCCCTCGCCCACCCAAGCCCGACTCTGCCCCCGGCCCTGGGGCCCGGGGCCCACTCTGACAGTCCTCTCTGCCTGCTCCTCACGGAGCCGCAGGACGGACCCAGGGCCGGGCCGTTTCGCCCTTTTCCCCACGTCCAGGTGCTTCTCTGGGACCCGGCCTCTCAGTTGACACTCAAGCGCAGTTTTTAGACGACAACACCCTGTTGTCACTTTGGGTACAACACACAGGCCTCGACTGGCAGGGAGACACACTTTGTGCTCATTGGTGGCACCAGCGCACAAGGCAGTGACCGGAACACGCCGCCGAGCCCAACCACGGACCAGCAAGCAGCGCACATGACGGTGGAAGCTGACACTCCAATCCCAGCAGCATTGTGAACAGGTCACCGGGGCAGGGGTGGGCTGCACACACGCCTGCCTCTGCCCCCCTGCCCTCCCCAGCGAGGCCGAGACTCCACCTCCCCACCCACAGATACACCTGTTGCGTTGTGTGGGACCCACGGGTGAAGAAGAAAAGCTGGGGGGGCCGGGGAGGTGCCAACACATGGGCCAACAGGGCAGCATCCCCTTGTAAGCCTCCTGTCCCAACGTCAGGGGACTCTGATACGTTGGAAGACTAGACTTAGACTATGCTCCCGAGTTGTCTCCGCTGGCCCGACGACACCCATCCAACAAGGAGCAATGCCACAGCTTGGGGACGAATGTGACCAGGAGCTGTTCTCACAGGCACAGGCTTGTCAGCTGCACACGAGGGCCCAGCACAGGTCTGTGTCTGCTGCGGCACAGACCCACTGGGGCCGCCCATATCCAGGTTCACGGCCACGGATGTGGGAGAAACAAGGACTAGCAACAGGAGGAAGGAGCCAGCCAGAGTCCTCCCCACAGCACAGAGACCTTTTAAAATGGCAAGCAGGGAAGGTGACGGACGGGCCGCCCACAGCAGCAACGGCTGCCAAAGCCAAGGAGACTGAAGGGAGTGGGGCTGGCGGGGCCCGGGGCTCCCCAGCTCCCCTCACCCCACGCTTCTCAAGCCTCAGAGTCCCTCCTGCTGTCTCGCCCTGTGCCCAGCGTCCCCAGCTGAGCACCATCAGCTCACGCACAGTGAGGGTGATTTCTACGAGAGGAGGACCCATTTGCCCACATTCTGGGGAAGCGTGGCTTTAGAGACAGGCTCTACTTGAAGACGGTGGGGGTGGCCCTTGTTAGTGGGGACTGGTGGCAGCAGAGCAAGATCCAGAAGAGGCCGCTGCTGGCGGTGCGGACGCCTGGCTGGGCAGAAGCCAGGGAGAGCCTCCCTCTCTGACAGCAGGAGGCAGGGGCTGTGGTCTGGTGGATCCAAATAACCAGCATGCAGTGTTCTAGAGGACCAAGGATTTATTCACAATAGAAACTGCAACATTTTATACAAGCTACCGGAACAAAACAAATGAACAAAACCCAGAGAAGAAGGAAGGGGCAGGGAGCAGGCCCCAGGACGGCCGGGCGAGCCCCCCCCCGCGTGGCGCCGCACAGCTCCTCAGCGACCCTGGAAACCGGGCCCTGCATCTGCGCACCGACCGAAGGCTGAGGCACCAACACACTGTTTGGAAGTTCGGTTTGTTTTAATTCCAGCCACTGAAACTGACATAGAAATTATTGCTTAGATAAATAAACCTAGTCTACGAGGAAAAAGAAGAGTGGATAAAGAAACAAAACCCCAAGAGTGAAAAACGTAAGCTCCCCAGTACGGTAACAGTAAACAGGAGAGAAATGCCTCCCCCTGGAGCATTTCCTGGCATTTCTGGTGCCCTCTGGGCACAGAAACCGAGTCGGACTCCCGGCCGGCGCACCGGGCAGGCCTGACGTCGACGCTGTGCAGGACAAGGCGGGTGGGGACCCTGCAAAACAGTCAGCACTTCAAACCTCAGCCACCACAAACCGCTCTTCAGAAAAAAAATACAAAAGGTGTCAAAAAAATTTTTAGTTGTTTTTTCTTTTTTTCAAAGAGTTCTGGAAAAACGATCCCTAAGGAATAGAAATAGCACCGTTTGCAGGCTGGCCTAGACCCGGTCCTGCAGCTCTGCTGAGGCCCCGGAGCCGTCCTGGGTGGAGTCCCGAGCGCCAGTGTGTGGGCCGCGCTGGGTCTACTTCCGGCCCGGCGCGTCCTTCCCCGTGCAGCGCACGCAGACGTAGTCCTCCTTCGCGGCCGTCTCGGGGGAGACACCGACGCAGACCTGGTGGAACCACCGGTTGCAGCTGCCGTCGCACTGGACCCAGTCCACCTGGTTACAGAGAGCGGGGAGACGGGCATTCAGAGGGCCGCGGGCTCGCGGCCGGGCGGGCCAGCCTCAGACCGGGCCGGCCGTTTGCCACCGGTGGCCACCGTCCCACCACTGGGATTCTGGCACGGCAGCCAAAGCCACCAAGTTGGAGCCGCTCTTCAGGCTGCGACTGCTCTGGGGCGGAGGCGGTGCCGCCCTGTGGCAGGCGAGCAAGGGCGCTGGTCAGCATCCCTCCCACCTTCGCAGCGCCAGGGCGGCGACGGCTGGAGGAGCAGGAGGACAGAGGGAAGACGAAGAGTGTCTTCAGGGGAAGGAAGGAGCCCCGGAAGCGACGGGAAGAGCACAGAGACGGTGGGGGCAGGCCGACCCTTCAGGTAAGCGCGGAGCAGGTGAGCAGGAGAGAAAGACCGGGCGCGGCCGGGGCCAGCCCGTCCTCCAGGCCCAGACCTCACTGACCTCGTCTCCTTCCGGCTGCAGGCAGCTCCCCGCCGGGCAGACGGCGTCTTCGTCCTCAGAGTCCTCCTGCTCGGAATGGGAGGTGTCTGAGGGCAGGGAATGCGTGTCCACAGAGTGGACGAAGTCACAGCCGCGTGCACTCTCTGACTGCAGAGTGTCCGTGTCCGCGGGGCGGCTCAGTCTGACTCTCTTCTTCCTGGGGGTCCGCACGCTCCTCGCCCGATCCCACCGTTCGCGGGCAAGGCCTTCTCGGTCCAGGCGTCGCTTCAGTTTCCTCTCCAGGCCGTTGGCTCCGTCTCGCTTCCCGCGGCAACAGTCACTCTGGGGGAAGACGAGGACACCAGTTTCAGCCTCCAGTTCGCCCATGACTGAAGGGAGCCAGGCCGGGAGCCAGCTGTGAGGGAGATCGATGCGCCCCCAGCGACGTGGAAACCTACTGCATCCGAGCACCCACGGTCACCTCCCCTCCACTCCCCCTGGACGCCAGGGGCGTCACCTCCCGACGTCAATTCCTTTGACATGAATTCTGGAAAAAGGTTCCAGATGTGACTGGCCTCCCAGTTATTCAACCAGCACCAGAAGCTGGGAAGACACCGCCACTCTTTTGTAGCCAAATCCACGAGCAACTGACTGGCTACCGAGCTCGCACCAGGCGCAAGGGATTCTCGAGGACGTGCTCGCGCCTCCCTTCCTGAAGGACACACGTCCCCACCCCGCAGCGCGCAGGCGCACAGACAGACCACAAGCAGTAAGTCATCTGTGATGAAAAAGTCATCGGTGACTGCTGCCGTGAGGACAGATTCGGCTGTGCGTGCCCACACCTGCCTTCACAGCCTCCTGCCGAGCCCGTCCCCTCCCCTGAGCACAGCCTCCAGGCATCAGCTCAGAAGCAGGAAGGAGCAGCAGCTGCTACCCGGGCCCTTCCTTCTCCAGGGTCGGCCCGTCAAGGCCGCCAGCACTCAGCACGGACACCCCCAGTCTCAACCCAACCTCCCGCCGGCCACCTCGCTGCGGTCAGAGGGGTTTAGGTCTTTGTTAAACGTTCACTCCAAGATTATCAGATTACCTTTGACGTTTTTTTTTAAAGATTTTATTTATTTATGTTAAATAAATAACATAAAGGGGAAGGGAAGGAGAGGAGAGGAGGAAAGGAGAGAAATATCAATGTATGGTTGCCTCTCATGCGTCCCCTGCTGGGAACCGGCCTGCAACCCAAGCATGTGCCCTGACTGGGAATCGAACCGCGATTGTGTGGTTCGCAGGCCCGCGCTCAATCCACTGAGCTACACCAGCCAGGTATCTTTGACTTCTGAAAGCTTCATTCCCAAAGGCCTTCCCACAACCACAATACACTGCATTTTCATCTGTACTGATTTTCTTTAAAAAAAAAAAAAAAAAAGTTTTTATTTATTTTTAGAGAAAGGTGAAAGGAGGGAGAAAGGCAGAGAGAAACATCAATGTGTGGTTGCCTCCTGAGTGCCCCCACTGGAGACCTGGCCCCCAACCCAGGCACATGCCCCGACCGGGAATCGAACCAGCAACCACCTGGTTCACAGGCCAGCACTCAGTCCACTGAGCCGCACCAGCCAGGGCTCCACTGCTTCTTTTACAGAAGAAAAACAAGCCTGCTTCCAGCTACCACCTGGAAATGAGGAGCAGCCTGCTGCTAAAAACAAGTTCGCAGAGTGACCTGGAGAGCAGGACCGGGAGCCAGGCTGTGGGCCAAGGTGGCGTCTAGCCCCTGCCCGGTCACTGGCAGGCATAGCTGGGCAGTTTGCCTCCCTTTCTGGGCAGACGCCTCCACTCACCGGACGGCCCCCACAGGTGGCCCCGCCCGCCCCCCAGGACAGTCACCTTCTCACTGCTGGGCCGCACTGGGGAGCTCCGGTCAGCCTGCGGAGTAGAACTTGGCTTTGCAAGTAAAGTCCGGTACAGCTCCTGAGTTTCAGGAAGGGCCACCTGGAGCAGCTGTGCTTCCATCAGCAGCTCGTCCACTTCTGGACTCACACCTGTCACGGACCAGACCACGTCACAACACTGACAGCTAGTATCACACATGCACTCAGACCCGTGACACCGGCGGAGGCACCCGCGGGCAACAGCCTGTCCTTTTGGGTTACACGCAGCTGAAGTCAGGTCCGCAAACGTGCCGACAGTGCAGGGGGCACAGCGGAGCCCAAACTGGAGTCCCACCTTCGGTGACCGGGAAGGTGACCTTCCACAGTGAGCCCTCCCCACTCAGTCGCCCGCAGACGACTGTCACTCTGCCTTGACAGCTTGGGGCAGAAAGCACAGAAGAGCCCAGGGCACGGGTCACTGTGACGGTGTGAGAGGGAGCTTTGAGCAGGACTCGGGCGTCATTTACAGGTAAAAATAGGAAAAAGGAGCCAGTTCCAGTTGAGACTCATCTCTAGGCGCCCCCCACCACCAAGTCTCCTGAGTGATGAGGTGACCAGAGAGCCCGTCACCGCGTCTCTGATGGACATGCTGCGCTCAATTCTCAGTTGACATGGCCTGACCCTTTTGCCCCCGAAGGCCATGGATATAAAGACTGCCTTTGTTTCCTGTGCATCGATAAACCTTCCGATAGGATCTTTCTCTACCTTACGAGTACGTGGTAACCCCTTTCGACATTTCAGGATCAAGTTCTTTGTCACAGTATTGATCATCTGTAAGAAACCCTACTGTAGGCTCACAGGCTGCTGTCCTGCCCTCAAAATACAGAACACAAACCATGGAGGGGTACGCAGCTCCATCCTGCGGAGAAGGGCGAGTGCGAGGACGAGGCTCTGCCGTCCCAGTCACCAGACGAGGAAAAGGACGCTGTGCCAGGAGGCTGAGACACCTGCGGAGGAGACCCACTTAGAGGCGGGCTTTTCCAGGGCTGCACAGCCCCACCCATGGGCTGGAAGGGCGTGGGAATCGGGCAGGCACCTGAAGGCACCGCTTGGTGGTCTGTGGGACCTGGCTTTCCCACATGGAAAGCGTCTCCCGGACCTCAGCTCTAGCCAGGTGCCCGCAGACCACCGAGCCCTCAACCCGCCTGGTTCCGTGTGGACTGACTCCAGCAGGAAGAGCTCCGAGGGGAGGGAGGGAAATTCTCAGGGCCCGAGAGCAGAGCCCGTAGCCTCTTCTGATGTGGCACAGAACACAGACAGGACCCCTGGAGTGAACCTTCCTACCTTCTCCACTGGCTACAGGAGGAGCTACGAGAAACACCCCCCCACCCCCAGACCAGCGACTGAGTGACAGCAGTGCCTCCCCCTTTGTTAATCAGCACAAACTCCTGGCACATCTCGCGTGAGCAAACAGACTCTCCACTGGGGGCTGCCCAGATGGCCACCGCCTGCTGGGAGTCAGGTACTATATTTCCAAAACCTGGACAGAAACACTTTGAAAAGAGGACTATGACAGAGACTGATTTTCTGTCCTCTCTGGTCCGCTGAGAGCTGAACACACAAAATCCACATGTTGCCGTCCCCACTGCGCTTCCTGCTAGAGGGCCGGTGGGCGCGCCCAGCCCGAAGGCAGAGGCTGCCCTGCCGGTGCCCATCTAGTAGGTCTGTGCTCGCCCTGCGGCCAGTCCAGTCCCCCCAGTACACGGCTGCCCCTCCAGGGGCCGCGGAGGAACCTGGCTTTTGGCATAAAGGTCCAGACAGTGTGGAGCCTGCGGCCTCCCCTCTGAGGAAAGCAAGTTCCTTTCACTTGTGTTGAGAGGAACACACGAAAAGGGGGCAAAAAGTTAAAGGATACATATACATCCAACGTGCATCTGGGTTCACGCGCATAAGTGACAAAAGTCTATGTACGATGCACATACGGAAACGTGAAACCTGCTCTAGAGAAACAGCGGCCAAGAGACAACTCCTGACCGGCAGGTGCAGAGGAAACTCGGGCCACACGGTGGGGACACAGGACCTGCACAGCGGGCACCACGGGCTCAGTCGGGGAGAAGGAGCGTGGCAGAGTCCAAGCGCCAGCACGGCAAGGCCGGGCTCACCTTGCTGCTGTCCGGCGCCTGTCCGGCCGAGGCCTGCCACCTGCCGTGTGCCGGTCCGGAGCCCGCCCGGTCGTGCACAGACGCCAGGCTCCCCGACGACAGCAGGTGCTGGGCTCTGTGCTGCCAGTTCACGGTTCTCTCGATCATGTAGCGCAGGGCGTCGCCCTCGGGGAGGCGCACACGGAGGCGCTGCAGGGAGGCCAACAGGGGCAGGATCTTCTCCAGCGGAGGCTTCTCCGACCGCCGGCAGTGGGGGCAGAGCCAGACGCGAGGGCCCTGTGGGGCACTGGGGGCGGCCACGCAGCTCGTGTGGAAAGCATCCCTGCAGAGCTCGCACTGCACCATCGGGGCAGCGGGCCCTCGCTGGCACAGGCAGACCTTCGTGTCCGCGTCGGGGCCCGGCGACAGCAGCTTCCCCTCGTTGGCTCGCCTCAGCGCCTGCAGGGCTTCCATCTCCCTCAGGCGCGCCTCCCCGAGGGCCGCCATCTGCAAGGACACCACAACCACGGGCACCGTCACAGACACTCTGCACTCGGGGCCAGGCTCTGCGGGGCGAGCGCTGGACCTTGGGTGACAGACACACCCTACGGTGGGGATGACATGCCCGTCTCACGGGCTGCGAAGGGGAGAGACAGGTGAACAAACAGGCTGCCCGGCACTTCGAAGCACAACCACTCCACATGCTCCACTTCTGGAAAGTCTGACTTCCTTGCCCACTGACCACCTAGAAAATTCACTCCCTTGAAAGGCCCAGGTTTTCCTCCCCCCTCCCCTGCCCCGGGCACTCACTTCCAAAGTCCCCTCCGCTCTCTGCTCCTTAGCTGCAGGCGGAAAGGTGCCCTGGAGCAGCCTCACACCAGCCACTGGCCACGTCTCTGTCTCCCACGTGAAGAGAGGCAACAGGAGCCGTTGGGCCAGACCTTTCTCACACCCATGCACACAGGCAGGACAGAACAAAGTGGGGTGTGGGGCAAAGGCAGAAGCAGGTTGCTTTCCTGCAGGAAGTGGCCAGCCCCCTCCCACTGGGAAGTCTTTCCTCTCCAGTGAAACAAGAGCCATGTCCCAGGAGAGCGCTGACGCAGCGAACCTACAGCCGTGACCTGGAAACACGGACAGACTCCACCTCTCACCAAGCAGCTGGGGGCTGCCGGGCACCACTCTGATGAAGAGGTTTCTGAGCTGTCCAGGGGGCCAGCACACCTCAGGCAGTGTACTACGTGTACTAAGTCCAGGCCAAGTCTAAAGGTGACTAGTTCAAAGCACAGGCTAAGCCAGAGTCAGCTGCCACCACCCTCAGCTTGGTGCAGTCTCCTCGACCAGAGGCTGGGCCACCGTGTTCCTCGACCTCTTCACTAACACACGGGGGGAGCGCAGACTTTGATGGCTGAACTGTCCCCTCTACACTCCAAAGCAGTGGGCCACAGGAACGGGGCCTCCCCCACACCTATCCCCACGTCCTCAGTGGCTCCGTCTGTCACAGCTGGAGCTGTTCCTCATCACCACGTCTGCCCACTGCCAGCTCTGCCGTGACTCACCAGATGAGGCCAGTGTCCTAACGCCAGGACCGGCTCTCCACTATCTCTGTGTGGACTGGGGAAGCAACACAAAGGTCTGCAAGTGTATCAGATAACAGGCCTCTGCTGTGCTGTGAAACACCCACTTGTTTCTGTGAACGGAAGCCGCACACCGAGTGGCTGAGTTGGGGACACTGGGGACAGCTCTCTCGGAGCTCCCGTGCGAACCCAGCAGGGTTCAGCTGCTACGTCCCGCAGCGTGCCGAGTTCCGAGTAGACAGGGTCTTTCTTCTCAGAAATGAAACACAGACATCACAGGGAAAGAAGCCCCTGAAAATCGCCAGAATAAGGCTCAGGCAGCAGAGTCTGATTGGAACTGACTGAATGTACAAACACACCCAAAAAAGGCTGTGTCAAAATATGCAAATCAATCCAGGCCATGTGGAACACAAGAGAAGCCAGCAGCTACAAAGAAGAGACTTGGAAGAAGAGGCCCCACCTGAGGACAGAGCCACACGCCCGGGTCACTCAGCAGGTCGCCCCTGGGCAGTGCTGTGCACCATTAGACCGTCTAGGTGGGACCACACCCATGGAAACCAGCGGCAGAGTGACAAGGCACCAAAACGGAGGCAATACTGGCAAATCCCGTATCCCAGGAGCATCAAACTCATTTTCACCAGGGGCCACATCAGCCTCGTGGTTGCCTTTAAAGGGACGAATGTAGTTTTAGGACTGTGTAAATGTAACTGCTCCTTAACTATGGGCAAGGAGCTCAGCACCGCCACCGGGTGGAACAAAACAAGGTGGAGGGTGGGATTAGGCCCCCCGGCCTTCATTTGCATCTGTGATGTATCTGATAGGGGTTAAAAATCAACTTACACAAAGAACTCATATAGCACAACAGCAAGAAACCCAAACAATCCAATTAAAATGGGCAGAGCATCTCCACAGACATCCTCCCAAAGAGGACGCACCGGTGGCCACCAGGTGCGTGTGAAGGTGCCACGCGTCACCACCACTGGGGGGAAACACAAGGCAGGACCACGACGAGCCATCACGCCCGACGGAAGGGCGGTTCCCAAAGACAAGAAGCGACGCGTGCTCGTGCTCGAGGGACGCGGGAGAAAGGCAGCCCCTGTGCGCTGTGGGCGGGGCCGGTCGCTGGCGCGGCCCCGCGGAGAGCAGTGTGCGATCCCTGCGAGCGGCGAGAACGGAACCACGAGGGGACCCGGCCGTCCCTCGTCGGGGCGCGTCCTCCACGCGCCCGCAGCAGCCACTGCACCCCGCGTTCCCCGCAGCATCACACACGGCGGCCAAGACGCGGGGGCCCCCTAAGTGCCCACGGACGGGGAGCGGGCGAAGGACGTGTGGCGTGTTCACGCGCTGGAACACACTGAGCCGCGAGAGGAGGGAAGCCTGCCGTCTGCACCGGCACGAGTGCGCACCTGCAGGGCGCTGGCTGGGCGAGGTCGGTCAGAGAGACAAAGTAATCTTTCAAAGAACTTTAAAGGCTTCCAAACAACAGAGCTGCCTCCCTGTCCCGATGCTGTGATCACCGAACATGTTCCACCTGGAGGCCAAATCAGCACCCAGGACCCCAACCCCAGCCCAGAGGCACTGATGAACCAGTGCTGGGGGCCCTTGCTGGGTCTGCCACACCTGTCTGCGCATCTTTCATTGAAAACTTCTACTTTCAACAATTTCCAGAAACTTTTTGTTAAACCTGAGTACGCTGCCGCCCTAACACCCTGTGAAGGAGGCAGGGGTGGGGGCCGCCCTCCCCACCACCAGAGGAAGGAGGCGAGGGGCCCATACGCACAGCTGCAGCCGTCTCCTTGCTCTCGGCTAAGGCCCTCTCCAGGTCGCTCAGGGTCTCCAGCCTGCTGCTCCTCTTCTTTCCACTGGGCAAGGGTTCCTTGAACTTCCTCTGCTTCCTTTTTGACCCCCAAGGGCCAATATCACAGCGAGGACACAGCACCTGAAAAGTGGGACACAGCACAACCGCTGGCACGCAGGTTTCGGACACGGACGAGGCAGCCCCAGAGGCAGCGACGAGCAGTGGGAAGGGCGTCAAGTTCTTCCTGCTCAACATTTCACTGGTCCTGTGTTGCCCTGGGCCAGACAAGTCTCCTCTGAAAGGAAGGGGGAAGGAAAGAAAGAGGGAGAAAGAAGGAAATCTCACGAAGCATCGACTTGCACTCAGACTGGTGTCCGCTTACGAAAATACACCAGGTCAGTGGCGGTGCTTTATGAGAGGGGAGGGGACGCCTGTCAAGCTCACTAAGTGCAAGGGGTGGGAGTGCAACCTTAACAGACTGACGAGCCTCAGTGAGAAAGAGTCCTCCCTTACATCAAATGCCATCCTCAGCGTGTCCACAGAACACCTGAAGAATCATTCCCTAGGAGCTCAGAAGGATCTCGGGCTCTACTGAAAAAATCGCAGACCCCCATGGGACGTAAGGGGCGGCACACACACCTCCAGGAGCGAGTACGGGGAGTTCTCCATCAAGAATGTGTTCGCGGCACACTCCTTCCAGGCCTGGACCTCAGCCACCAGCGACTCCAGTCTCGGGAGGGAGCTCAGATGCACTGGGATACAGCGGCCTCGAGTGACAAGTTCCACCAGTGTGTCCAACACTGGCACGCGGCCCCCAACCTGACAAATCGAGAAAAATCAGAGCGACTGAGAGAAAAGGGTGTTTCTGGGCGAAGGGGGAAGAGCCCAGCTGAGACTCGGCCCACGATGGTGGGGGTGGGTGGGGCGTGTTCTTTCACTTAACAAATAACTGAAGAGCCCACTTTGTGTTGGGCCCCAAGGAAACGACTGTGGCCCCTGTATTCTGACTGCGTCCTGGGAAACTCGCTGGCCACACTGGTTGCCATAGGCAGTTTGAGAACAGTTCAGCAGAAGTGTAGATGTGTAGCAACTCAAGAATGCAGTACTCAGGAAACTAACGTGAGCCCAGAAACCCAGTGGTTTCCCAAACCTGAGAACGCAGTGGGACTCTCCACGAAAGCCTGGGTGTTCTGATTCAGATCCACAGGGGAGGCCCAGGAACCTGCATTTCTGACACGCCCAGGCGGTCCTGGGACCCGTTTTGAGAAGGACACCGTCACACAGGAAGGAAGACCGAGACACTGGGTGGGAGTGGGGGCGGGAAGGACAGTGCTGCTGGGCAGCCAGGAGGTGCACCCTCCCCGGGAGGGACGCTTCCAGGAAGACCGAACGGAGAGCAGGCAGGTTGGAGTTTCACTGCTCTGACGTCCGTCCTGGTGGGTCAGAAGCTGAAAGGCACAGCTGTCCTGCTGGGCACTTTGGGACGGCACCTCACACCACACGCCGCTGTGATGCTCAGCTTAGAAAGGCAGGGACACCCCCTGTGTGGAGCAGGACACTGGGTAACACTCTCACGTACACAGTCCACTAAATAAGATGTTCCTTGATGCGGGTGTTCAGTCCTCAAACGCACGACACAACCACGGCCAGGCCGTCACCACAGGACCGGCTCCTGGGCCCTGCCGCGGCACACACCCAGTGGTGTGGTCTCCACACGACAGAGCCACGCCCTGCCTCTCTGTTGGCAGGGCAGGGGTGCCCATCCCCTGGCTGCAAGGAAGGAGGACCTTGCCAAAAACTCACCACCAGAGTTCCAGCCATCGCTGACAAGAGCCTGCACCCAAAGCACCCACGGGGGAAATTTACAAACAGGAAATACTTCACGTGGCCAGTCTTTAACTAGCTGGGCTCACTCACTCCTTAATTACATAATAATATTTATCACACATCTTCTCTTCCCTATGAAGTGCAAGAGATGCCCAGACGTTTTCTTGTAAATATCTAGACAAACCTTCCTTTCTGGCATTTATTAGACATTGATTAATTAGCACCACTTTAAATGACACAAATGTTCATAAAGCAAGGTACTTTATTCCTAACAAGAAATTCTGATGGCTTAAAAAAAAAAAAAACAACAAAAACAGACCACCTTGAGACTCAAATATACCGTAAATTAAAATGTTACAACACAGCCCATTAAATAATTCAAAGGTCTTTTTCCTCACTAGGTCACTGAGACCCTTTGGTTCTGGGGATGAGAAAAGAAGGTCAGGAAGACACCCCTACCGCCCCCTTTTCAGTGAAGCCCCCAGCTGACCAGGGGGGACAGCCTAGAAGTCACTGCCAGCGAGTGTGACTCCTCCCCCCGCAGGAACACCCAGCCGCAGTGCTTCTCTGGATAATCACTTTGCAACTCGCCCCACTTACTTCTTCAGGAGGGACGGCAAGGCACCTCTGGTCAAGCCCCTACTGCCTGGTGACACACCTGGGCCCTGGGACCATGTTTGGCCACGCAATCATGTACCTGGGCTAAATCTGCACTTTTTTAAAAAGCCTTTATTTAGAGAGGACGATGGAGGGAAGGGAGAAAGAGAGGGAGAGAAACATCGATGTGTGGTTGCCCCCCACGTGCCCCCACTGGGGACCTGGCCTGCAGCCCACGCCTGGGCCCTGACCAAGAATCTAACCAGTGACCCTCTGCTTCGCAGTCCAGTGCACAGTCCTCCGAGCCCCACCAGCCGGGGCCCAGTTTTTCAATTATTGCCCTTAATAGACACATCCACACACTGAGGTTTGTTTGTCTTTCACACCAACCTGCAGGGCCTCCACCTCCTGAAGCCAGTCCCTGGCTCTCTGCACCGAGTCCTTCAGAGCCGCCCCGCTGGGCAGGTACGCGGGGATCTCCTCCATCTCCTTCAGCGCCGCCGTGAGGCTGCTCAGGGAGTGCCGAGGCCTACGAGGGTGAAACAGCAGCCGCTCAGCGCTGTGTGCGAGGGCTCGGCTTCCTTGTGGTTCACCAAAGAGCCAGAAGAACCATCTCAAAGGGGACGCAGCCCGACCCATACCTTCCTTAAATGGCAACAACTACTAGATATCCAATTAATTAAGATTCAAATGGCTGCCTAAGACTTAAAAGAGCATCTAAGACAGAACCAATGAATCAGCGAAGCATTTAAATCCTCTTCACTCTGCACGGGCGAACCACAAACCTCCCTGCAGCTCCCTCAGTGACGATGCTCTCAAGTTACCCACGTCTCTCCACGTCTCCTGCGTGGGCCCGGACACCCCACGAGGACCCCTGCAGTGTCACCAAGAAAATTAAAGTTCGCCAGGGTCTCAACATGCCACAAGCAGTGTCATCAATTTGTGCACCCTCCCCAGTGACCACGATTCCAGGACTATGCAGTGTCTACAACTGAGATGACTTCATGTGCTTTATGCTGTGACAGCCAGACACTACAGACCCGTCAGACAGAGCACAGGACGCCAGGCTGGTCAGGGACGGCCGCCACGGTCCGGGGCCGCTCCTGAGCAGCAGCGCAGACACGCAGGCACGTGGCCACCCTCCTCCACTCTCCGGGACAGAGCACATGAGCTCACACCCTCTCTCTCCTTAGGACCCTTCGGAATCTCGCCCATTAACTCAAGTTGGAACATTTCCACTGATTTGCAAAGTCTGCTTTCTCTCTCAAAGATGACACTGCATCAAAACCAAGAAAAGGCCAGTCCAGATGAACCACTCATTTCCCTATCTGTCTTCCTTGACCCAACTCCCAGCAGCCCCGACAGCTTGGCTATCTGCACCACCGCAGCGGCAGAGCACCCGTCCCCGGCCTGTGCTGGGCGCTGGGACAGAACACCCCCGCCCTCCCCAGGAGAGAAGGCAGCCAGGTCGCTCACCTGGCTCGGAGGAGGCTCTTGGCTCTGTCATCCCAGTGCTCTGACACCGTAAGCAGCTCCTGCAGCCGCGCCATCGCCTTCTCCACGGCCGCGTACGGGGCCAGGCCCACGCCCAGGTCAATGAGCCGCCTCATGTCATCTAAAGTGAGGGAGCTCGGGTCTAGGCAAGCCTGCTGCACCTCCTCTAGCCAACGGGCCTGCTCCAGACGGACACGCATCTCAGCAAGCTGTGGAAGTTCAACATCGAATTCGAAGCTGACGTCCAGCAAGTCCTGCAGCTCGGCGGCACCGGGCATCTCCTCGGAGAGCAACTTCTGGCTACGCTGCTGGAGATCTTCCACACGACTCAAAAGATCCTGAAACACACAGCTTGGTGCATCAAAATGGGGATCTCAGTGAGTGGCCTCTTTCCCTTGTAGAACCCGCGGTGCACACTCAACATGACGCTGTCCCACCTCACTGGGCTGCAGCAACAACGCAAGCGACGACGCGTCGCTGCCACCAGACCGCACACCCCTGCGAGGTGGGGGTCGCTCCTAACGTAAGCACGCCCGCCTTTACCTCTCCTTTGAAGGCCCGTCCTTATCTCTATACACGCACACCCTTCACGTCAGCCCAACTGATTTACAAAGGGCCCAGCACTCGCCCAGGTGCCCCGCAGTTACCTTCAGCAGTGGCGTCTGACTGAGGACACACGGGAGAGCATAGAGCTGCGTCACGAACTGGCGGAGCTCGCTCACTGTGAGCTGGTTTGGGGACTTCCCCCCACCAGACCGGTACCTACAAAGACAGAGGCGAGGGAGCCCCGTGAGAACACGGCATCCCCTCCCCGTCCCCGGATTCCAGGGTGGCAGGCGGAGGACAGACAGCAGGGGAGGCCCAAGTTCACCACCACAGGCCCCACCTGGTCTGCCTCTTGCCATTGAGCAGCTGCTGTGCGACAGAAGCACACTTCTCCGCGTCCTGAGTGACGAGGCGAAGGTGGCGTAGAAGGTCGTTGTCTGGGAACTTCTTCATCTCAGACTCTTCAATCAAAGCCTTGAAGCTGGCAAGGCCTGTGGACAGATAAAAGGTCACCGTCATGGGACACCCGGCGGGCGGTGTGGAGGCGAGGTGGTTTCCATCAGCTCTGATCTGTAAGTGTTTGTAATGTTCCACATCATTAAATCCGCAACCATCAGTGTGGCAAGTTTTCTGTTTAAAACGAAATGTTTCGACCTGAAATGTTTGCACAGAAAACAGCTGACTTGTGGAAATAGAGCAATGCAAACTCTCACTGTGCCCCAACTCCCCTCCTGCCTTTCACCCTGCGGCCAGCAGTCACCGGTGGACTCACAGGCAGCGGTGCCGCACCTGTCCCTGAAACACAGGAGGGCAGTCACCTCTTAGGCTACCGAGAGAAGAGTGTAAAAACACTGAGATGGGGAGGGAAGCCATGGCTTTCAAAGGCCGTTGTCTGGCACGATGCAGGAGAGAAGAGGCCGAATGGAACGAGTGGCAGGAACCAGCACCTCAGAGCCTTCTGCCTCGTCATGACATCTCGTTAGACCAAGTTTTTCTGAGGCGCCACGTGAAACGGGAAGGACACTGTCTCTGAGACAGGTGTGCAGGCCTCTCTGCTTCCTGACAACCAGGTCCAGGTGGAGAGCACACCGTGCACAGCTCGTGTGCCAAGACCTCGCTGGCGGCACCTGAGCCACCTCGCCCGCTCCTGCACCTCCCCCTCTGCGAGCCTGCCTGCACGGGATGCACCTGGACAGAGCAGTCAGACTGTGGCTGACTGATTCCCGTACCACCTACTTTTCTTCTTGTTGACTTTCGCCTCCAGAGCATCATTCACATTCAAGGCCCACTCATTGTAAGACTCCGCTCGCAGCTTCAATGCGTTCATCATGGGGTAGAGGTCGTCCAGGGTGTATCTGTACCTGCGAACAGGAGAAAATCCCGTTTCCCGTTCAGTGCTCCGGCCCTGCAGCTTCACGGAGGAGCCGGGGTGCTGTGCAGGGAGTCACCCACGCCTCCCGCTCACCGCAGTTTGTATCTGTGGGGCGGACAGGCACACAGCTCCCGCGCGTGGTGCAGGCAGACAAGCAGGCCCGGCGAGCACGCGCAGGAGATGGCGGACATGAAGCACGTCGTCTTGCATCGGATACACTGACGCTCGTCATCCGGCAGCAGCTCAAAATCCATTCTCTCTGCATCCATCACTCCCTGGAGAACAACACTGCGTGAGAGGCCCCCGGAGACCGCTGTGGTCCACCAGTGCCCCCAACGGGGAGTATAGGGTCAGGACCGTGCGCAACGTCAAGTGACAGTGACCCAGCAAACACGGAGTCGGGCCGCTTCGCTCGTCTAGTGAGGACCCGGTTTTGGACAAAGTCTGATGTGAGTACACAAACGGTGGTTGACAGGATGGTAAAATCTGACTCTGAAGTGGCCGTGACCACACTGCAGGCACATGCAGAGGCAGAGCTCTTGCCCCACACCCTGGACCATCAACAAGAATTACTGAGGATGAAATAAAGATTTAAATGTAAAACCTAAAACTGGGAACTCTAGGACTACACAGGAGAAAAATCTCTGAGACTTCGGGTCAGACCAAGGTTTCTTAAGGACAACACACGAAACAGACTGGAAGGAAGGGTCTGCAGAACACCCACCTGCTGCCCAGAATGAACAGAAATCTCGGCTTCACCCAGTAAAAGGGGGCGGGCAAGACGTTTAAACAGACCCTTCCCCAAAGAGACACAGGTACAGGTAGATGAGAACTCGGTAACATGTCTCACTGCACCAACAGCCATTAAACAAACTCTCGCAGGTAATCAGGTTAAGGAGCAACTTAGAACCTCACTAAGTCACACGCGACAAACGCCCCAACACTCAGGTCCCAGGAGCCTCACCAGCTGACGCACGGCTTCTCTCAAAGCTCTCTCGTCCTCAACCATGACGGCCATGTCCTTCTGGACGGTCGAGGCCACGACAACGTCCAGGACGCTGGCCTTGGAGGCCATCTTGCAGATCATCTCATCATGGGAGAACACGCAGTAGCGGTGCAGCAGGCGGTAGTGCTCCACGCACTGGCGGCCCAGGGGCAGCTGTTCCGAGACAGGGACACGAGCACTGTCCTCCTCCCACCACGTCCAAAGCCTTCCCGACTCCGACCCTCACCACCCAACAACCCGAGATCGCGCCTGGGCCCCGCGCATCGCACACCAACTCTCAGAGCGGATCTGAGAGGCCTTGGGGTTCTTAACGCATTAACAATGCGTTACCGCCCCAACAAGAATCTAACTGGAGCCCTGGCTGGTGTGGCTCAGTGGACTGAATGCTGGCGGCCTGTGAGCCAGAGGGTCGCCAGTTCGACTCCCAGTCAGGGCACACGCCTGAGGTGTGGGCCAGGTCCCCAGTGGGGGCAACTACACACTGATGTTTCTGTCCCTCTCTGTCCCTCTCTTTCTCCCCCTCTTCCCTTCTCTAAAAAATAAAACCGAATCTAACCAGAAACAGAAATTGACACATTTCCTGAAACCACCGTGCAGAAGTGGACACGGTTCACCTGCTGCTTCTGGGAGCAGTGATGCTCCGGAACGAACACAGCAGCTGTAGAGACAGGCGGTGCTGTCGTTCAGAGAGACACCGAAAGAAGATTACAACTTGTCAGATATAACACCTCACACTTCAACCAAACAGTGCTTTTTAGGTAAAAGGAAAGTACAAATACTGACATTAAAAAACCCTACTGTCCAAAGTAACTAAAACCAAATATGTTGTTAAAAGCTGTTTTGGACAACTGGGGCTTGTGTGGAACAGTCCTAAGATGGGAACTGTCATCAGTTTGCAACGAGACACTGAGCTTCAGCCAAAATGTGCCACAGGAGATGCTTTCCTTAAAGTCTTACTATAAAAGAAAACACCGTCAGCTGACCCCAGCCGTGTGCTGTTAGTCCGGCCTGAATTTACAGCCCGGTACAGCGCCTGACTTCACAAGGGGTCAGCAATCTGCAGATCAGCTTCCTGAGTGGAGACAGGTTAAGTGACCACATGTGTGACAGGTGCAGAGCACTCCCCCGACTCAGCGTGCAAGGCTCACGAAGCCTCAACCCCATACCCAGTCCACAGTGCAGAAGTTCACAGCCTCAGCGAAGTTGAAGCCCTGGTTGAAGCCGCTGTGGTAGGCGCGCGGGAACGTGATCACGAATTCCCCAGCACACTGGTTAGTCCGGTAAACCTACAGAGACACACGGAGGTTGTTACTGACGTTCTCCCAGAAGACAGTCTGGACACAGCCGATCAGATGGTTCTTCAGAAGGGGTAGCTTCCCACCAGTTAAAAGTGAGCCGGAAGAGAAGAGGACAAAAACCGCCACGGTCCACCACCAGAGGGAGTGGCACCCCGGCCACCAGGGCTGCTGAGGGTCTAGGACAACGTGACATGGCTCACATTACACAAGCGGCTACATTCAGCATTGGGACACATGCCTGTAAGTGTAACCACAATTAAGACTATCCCACGTTACCAGCCCCGGAGCCCTGGCTGACATGGATCAGGGGACTGTGTGCTGGCCTCTGAACGAAGGGGTCACTTGTTCAATTCCCACTCGGGGCACATGCCCGGGCTGAGGGCCAGATCCCCAGTAGGGGGTGCCCAACAGGTAACCACACATTGATGTTTCTTTTCTCTCCCTCCCTGCCCCTCTCTTTAAAATCTTAAAAAAAGAAAGAAAAAAAGAAAAGAATATTCTACTTTAACCAAAGTTAAGATCTCTGACCAATTCAAGAAATTGCACACTACTTCAAGAACATCGCTCTCCGAGATCTGGGCTCAGACGTGAGCCCCCGGCACTGCGCTCAGATGCCTGTGCTGCTGTAGGTGCACGCACCTCAGGCTACTGCTATGTAAGGACAACATTAGCCGGACGAGTTTTCAACTCTGCAGCTGCATCGGTGCTCTTCTGACATGACCCACAGCAGCGTCACGCAGGGGGTCTTCTCAGAAATGTAAATCCGTGAGCTCCGCCCCACACCAACATTACAGGAAACTCCGCGGTGAACGGGGCTCAGCCTGCGAGGCAAACGCCCCCCAGGTCCGGACACTGGCCAGAGGTGCAGCCCACGACCCAGCACACAGGCACGGCTCCTTTCTACAGGGAACTCTTCTCCCTCCCCCAGCGCTGCCTTACATAGTCCTCACGTGCGTCTGCCCAGACACACTCCCTCCTCACTGGAGCTCCAAGTCCTCGTTCAAACACCGTTTTGGAGCCTGGTTCTCCAGTCAGTGGGTCCGCAGCCTCCCACGTGACCCACTGTCAAGCCACATCACCCTTCCGTTGTCTGTCTCTCCTCTTCCAGTGTCAGCTCCCAAAGGCAGGAGTTCACTCACTGATCTGAACGTCCAAAGTCGAACCCCACATGGCCATGGCCATGGCCAGACACTCACAACAAATCAGAAAGGGCAATCAGCATGAGGGGGTAATACCAACAATGAGGAGTCGGTGGTGCTTTCGTAGTGACTGGTCCTTCTTTACTAAGCTATTTTATGATCCCTCAAATAAAGTCCTTTCTACCCGACCCCAATTACTGGCCTATGGACCCAAAAGCATAAAATTCAGGCTACAACAAGATCAAGAATTCACATCTGCACTGGAAATGCACCATTCATGTCCGATTCGGCCGAGACAGGCTCTGCAGCTTCCTACACCTCACCCCCGCCGCCCCACGATTTTCAGTGTCCTCTCCACAAGGAGCCACTGCTACTCAAGCAAGCGTCATTTCACAGAAAGCTCAGAAGAAACATCACCAACAGCCCCTGTCTAGAGTGAGAAGCCCAGTTCCAAGCTTAAGACCTTAAAACAAATGTTCTTTTAAAATATGCTTTACTGGGAGTGAAGGAGTAACACAATCAAGCCCTACCCAACATGTCACTTCAGTTCATCATTCAAAATTCACACCCAGTAGGTTCAATAAATTATTTTTTTAAAGTACGCGGACAGAGCATGAAGGATTCCAACGTTAGAGTTTAGATCTAATCATAACAGAACCTGGCCTTTCTCACAGTATTTATACTGACAAGTGACGTGTGTTTCAGGTTTTTGTTTTGTTGCAGTGAAAAAGTGAGTTATAAACAAAAACCATGGTGCAGAGTAGGCAGTGGGGACGGCCACGTGACCTGCGAGTGGACAAGAGACAATGGGATTGGAGACAAAAAGAAAGTGTCACAGTTGTGACTTGTGAAGTGAGGCTGCTGCAGCAGCCTAGTTATCGGCAACAACGAATTAGTCTTTGCAGTGTCTGAGGATCCCCAACGCAACGTGGCGTCAAGTCGCACAGGAACAGGGAGCCCTGGGGGTGGGGGTGGGGGTGGGGGAGGGGAGGGCCGGCCGAGCGCCTACGGGAACGTCGTGCGTCATCAGGGTGTTGGGGTTCATGATGGTCACGAGCTGGTGCAGCAGGTCTGGCTGGGACACAAAGAGCTCCGGGGCCAGTCTCTTCATCACGTCTTCCAGCTGCTCGGCGGCGTACCCAGGGACACCGTACCAGGTTTTCGGCTCACCCCTGGAAATGCAGTATAAGTATCAATCGGTGTCCAAACACCTAAGCGTGGACTTCTAGTAGTTTCTCTCGATCACACACATGCCCAAAGTCACCACCACACACAGCCACACAGGGACATGGCACAGCTCAGACATGCGTCTGAGCTGAGACACAGCTGGGGTGGGAGCTGCCGCGGCCAGCCTGCACCCTGAGCCTGGGTCCCCAGGGCACCCACCAGTGCAGGTAGTTGATCGAGTAGCTCCAGTGGTCTTCGATATGCCAGCAGAACGAGGAGAAGCACATGCCCACGTACAGCCAGGGCAGCTTCATGCCACATATGTCGGCGGTGATGTGCGCCAGGACCGACTGCTCCATCACGGGCATGTTGTTCAAATTCCAGCCACTATCAAGATACTCCTAAAACACAGAAGCAAGACAGTGAACAGACTTAGCTGTGTCATGCCAACACTTCAGATGTCAGGGCAGCAGGCGGGTGAAGCCGCAACACTGACCCCTTGGACACCGAGGACCACCTCTGCTGTGTTAAGCTTCACACACATGGACCTGCACAGCCCGCGCTGTATGTGCCTCTTTTCTACCGGCTGCAGAAGAGCCAGGACAGTGCTGTCAGGGGCTTGTTCTGAGACAGGGACAGTAGTGAGGGGACAGGGAGGGGCTTCTGGGGGGATGTGGTCATGTCCTGCTTCTTCCAGCAGTTACACGGGTGTGTTCAGGCCATGAAACTTCATCAAACTGAGCACATACGATTATGTACCTCTCTGTTCATATGTCAGATTTCCAAAAGTTTACCAAAAAACCCCTCTGACTTCTTACTAAACAGAAACCTTCCTAGGAGTTGGCTACTGTGGGGGGTCATTATGGGAAGTAACGGACTCAAACCTTCAAGTTCATTGATAAGTAAGGTCTGATGCTGGCTGGTGTAGCTCAGAAAGAGGACTGAGCATCAGCCTGTGAACCCAAAGGTCACGGGTTCGCCTCCCAGTCAGGGCACAGGCCTGGGTTGCAGGTCCCCGGTGGCGGGCATGCGAGAGGCAATCAACTGGTGTTTCTCTTGCTCAACATTCCTCTCCCTCTCTTTGTCCCTCCCTTCCCCTCTCTCTGAAAATAAATACGTAACATCTTTCAAAAACTAAAATGAAGATAAGTAGGTCTGGTTTCAATTCCTCAGACTCCCTTCGGAAGGAGAAACCGAGGTAACAGGCTCTGACGGCCAAGGGAGGGCAGGGCCGTCCCCTGTCACCGCAGTGCAGCGGCACCGCTGGGACCGGGACGCTCCCGTGGGCGCTCGGTGCTCTGCTGGAAATCATTAGAAACCTGGTGACCAACGATCTTCTGAAAGCAATCATAAACCACTTCAAAACAACCACGTGGAAACTGCATTAGTAACTCAAGCTCCAGGCTACACCTGGTTTTCGCAGCGAGGCTGCCGCGAAGGCCACCTCACGCCCAGCAGACCCCGTCAAAGATGCGCCCACCTCCTCCTCGGGGGAGAGCCTGGCCTTCCCGTCGCGGACAGGGAAGCCACTGCCAAACTCCTTCGAGGCGATGTCGGCTCCGTACTCGACCGTGACGTCCTCCTCGATGGTGCTCACCAGCCGCCAAAATTCTTTCTCAACCAGTTCTGTGGGAACCATCTGGAAGAAAAACCGTGAGAAAAAAATGCACCTTCTCCAACACCAGCTCTCAGTGTCCCCCTGACCGGATGAGCTGAGAGACAGGACCACGGGCCGGTGCCCTGAGAGCAGTCCTTGTGCTGAGGTCCACGGTGGCCCCAGGCAGCTCCCACTGTTTCCCAGCAGGCATTGACATGGTAACGGGGAGTAGCCACCAGGCCCTCCTGTTCCTGTGGCAGACCTGGCCACTGCGGTAAAGGAGCCGAGGAGCGCAGCACACTGACACTCCCAAGCTGCAGGCACAGTTCTGCTCAGACAGGTAACTCGCACGGTCTCCGGGCTGAGTGGCGCTCGGCCCTTCGAGGTGGCCCGGCACATCGCCCGAGGCCCCCACTCGCCCTTCCACTGGCCCTGGCTGAGGGCAACATGGCGACCATAGAACAGATGGTGCAGACTGTGAACAAGAGCGTGCACCGATGCACCAAGCACCCAGACCGAGTGCCTGGGGTCTGTGGTTCACCTGACTTGTGTCCATCTCGAAAAATCCTGTCTTTTAAGTAAAATAAAAAGCCAAGCGCAGATGGAAAAGACACAGACAAGTCACGGGGACTGGCTAAGCAGACACGTGGGGAATAATACAAGGCACAAGGGGGAAAAGAATGGAAAAGTCAAGCAGAGCGTGATCTGGATTTACGGTCCCATTAAACAAACACTTGCAGCAACCTCCCAGCTAACGCTAGTGCCGCCAGGCCCACAGTCACTGCAACAACTATGGTGGCAGGGAACAGCCAGTCACTCTCGCCCGACCTCAGTAACCATCCCGAGAACAGAGTGCAGCTAAAAAGACCAACACGCAGAAGTGCCTGCTGAAGCACTTCATCGGTGGTCAGAACACCCCGCCGGCGCACCCAGAATCACGGCAGAAAAGCACTGAAACGCTGGCGTGCTCACGGGAGCAGAGCGCGGCACCTCATGGTGACGGACAGCGTGCAAACGTGTTCCCCACGCACGGCACACTGCGTGGCCCGCGGAGTCATTCAATGAACCCTGTGAAGTTTTCTTTAAATTGCATTTGCTGAGCCGAAAAGATTACTGGAGACTTCGTATATTGTACTGTTACAGCTGCTCTATGGCTTACGTGGAAAAGCCTCTCTCTAGAAAATCAAGTGAAAACTCAGAATGCACTTTAAAGTGCGGTGGGATTTTAACGCCCCCGAACAAACCAAGGTTTCGCTGTGCATGATACTGACTGTCGGAGAAAAGTGCCACCTCCAATTTCTCTCCAGACCTGCCTTTCTAAAAAGTTACTGAAACCCTCAGTCACAGCAGCATCTGTGTACATACGTGCACTGGCATGTTGAAGTAATCAGACTTGAACGCATCTGCCATCTCCCCAAACGTGCGGAGGGTGTAGTCCCGGGCTGCTTGCTCAAAGCCAAATGCTTCTTGCGGCTTACTACACTCCTGTGAGAGAAAAGAGAGATTTTTGTTTATATACATATGAAAACAGACGACTGAAATTGCTTATGTAGCACAACTGCATTCATTTAAAATTTTTTAAAAAGTCTGGATGAATACACATCAAAATATCAACAGTGGTTATGTGTGGTATGGATTATAAAATCACACTTTTGTTTTTAAAGTCATTTGGGATTTAAGAATCTCTGCAAAGAGCATACAGTGTTTTTTCCCTCAAAGAAAAAAAACTTAAGTGTAGTTATTAAGAGTTTTTCTGCCTCTTAGCTCCCCGCGCAGCTGTGAAACTCACTTCCAAGACCTCCTTTCTGGGCAGGGCTAGCCCAGTGCTTCTAAGGCCCCCACAACTGTCAGTCACCAAGTGCAAACCCAAAGGCTAAGAACAGCACCGAACGTCCTGCTGCTGCCCCAGCTGCTGACTCTCACCTGAGCCAAACACTTGGGACACCTCCAGTCTCCCTTGGGAACATCATGGAGGGGTGGGATCAAGCAGAAGGTGTGGTAGCTGTCATCACACCCGTCGCACAAGAGGAGCCGGTCCTCGTCGCTGCCACTGCCACACAAGAGGCAAACGTACAGGTCCACCTGTAGCCACGACACAGGTACAGAACATGGGGTGCTGAGCGTCCACCAGAGCCTGCAACTCTAGGCATCGACTGAATGGAGATGAGATCCAGGCCCCCCCCCCACCGCCTACTTCAGATGACCAGCCCCCTCCAGGGCCCTGTGCGCAGGGAGGCTCCCCTCCCAGACAGACTGCCCACACGTGCTGTCCAGAGCTGGAAAACATCAACTTGACTTTGGTTCCAGCCTTCAGCGCACCTGGAGGCGGGCCAGCAATGGGTGAGCAAGCCTACAAATCAGCACCATGTGGTGCTCAACTGGCCTCCACAAAGTGGCCCTCAGAGCCCAGATGCCACCATTCTCCTTGTGCCTTTGCAAGCTCCCTCCTCCACAAACTGGCAGGAGAGGCGGACCTGACGCGGCCGCTGCACTGCTGGCCGCCAGACCTGTCAGGCGCACGCGTGTGAACTAGGATCAGAGTGTTAGAAGGCATCCACTCACAGCACTGGTGGTTTTCTTAGGTCGACTCTTGGGCTTCTCCCTCTCGCTCTCTACAACATGCTCTTTCTTCTCAATGGGTTCTTGCTTGATGCAGCTTTTTACTTCTTTCTCTGCAAGAGGTAATCCAAGTTAGCTAGCTCTTTCTGTGCTTTTCTCAGCCTGACCCCCGACCCTCCCTCCTCAAACACACGTGACACACGAGCGCACTGCCATGTGTCTTTGCACGAGGCAGCGGTGGCACCAGTGTTGCTCTGTCCACTGCTGCCTTCATGACAAGTGCCGAGTCTCACCCCACTTAAAGTGCGAGGTGTGGGTGCACAGTGGAGATGCCGCTCAGATTTCTATGCCATTAGAACAACACGTTATGGGGGAGGGGCAAGACGGCAAAGGGGGATAAATGGTGATGGAAAGAGACAGGGTGGTGAACACACAATACAGTACACAGGTGATGCATTAAAGAATTGCACACTTAAACCCTGCAATTTTATTAACCAATGTCAGCTCAATAAATTCAATTGAAAATACAAGAACATACACTGAGACAAGCAAGTCCTCTGACCAGGCCTGGGAGGGCCTGAGACTCCCTAGCTGGACCCCCTCCCGTTCAGACCAGCCTCCAGCCCCGAGTCCCCTCACCTCGCCTGCTTCCTGGTCCCAGAGGCTTTAGGCTGAAACACTGGTGTCCGTCAATGAACTGCCCTGGGGTAGGCCCTGTGCTAAATGCTTCCCACCCATTATTTAATCCTTTGCAACAAATCCATTCCAGAGATGAGAACATTGTCATCAATGGCTGTCAAGGAGTATCTCTAAGGTCGAACACTAGACGAGGAAGCGGCCGAGCGGGGACTCAGAGCTGCTCTCTCGGGTCCCTTCCCCTGACTCTGTGCTGCCCCTGGCCGACTCCCCGAGCGCGGGGCCCCGACGTCAGCAGCTCTGGCACCCGAGTGCCCTGCCCATGAGGGAGCCAGGGCTTCCACTCCACGTGCCAGGCTTCCCGGTGACTGGCACCTGGCCGAGGCCAGGCAAGCACCTGCCAGCTCCACCCCGACTCCCAAAGCAAGTCCACCCGCCACACCGAGACGAGTCCGGCAGAGACTGTCATCCAGAGGAGCAGCCAGTGCCAGCCGCGGGACACGCTCCACCCCGACGGCCCCCCCGCCCGTTTCCCTGTCGGCTGGGACTGGACGATGAGGACGTTCATACGCGAAGACTCCATTTCTGAAGGCCCAGCCAGTGATCGGCAGGTCACAGTTGCTCCAGTGTTTTCTTAACTAACAAATCATCGTTTTTACTCGTTTACTTTTTATTACTTTCCTTTTTGCAGATAAATTTTCTTACCGTTTTCATACTTTGGAGTTGGGCAACCCATTCGACGTCTGAGGTTATGAGTTCTGGCTTCCGTGGTCTCCTCCAGTTCTATTTTAATATTCATGGCCTCAAAAAAAGTTGTGATACACATAAATATTTTCTTTAAAAACAAGTAATTCTTCTAAAATCCCACTGGAATCCCAAAGCGACTATAATCCTATCAACTGTCTCTATTAATAGGACATACTTAACAGGACCTACTCCTCCGAGCCCTGGCCCTCGGGAGCACTGCTGTGGAAGGAACAGAGGAGGAATCTCGGGCACTACAAGAGTCAAAGCACAGGGGACAGTGAAAGGGCCAGGAGCAGACTGTGGGCAGCCTCACCACCCGGACGCAGAACAGCTCTTCTCCCCCAGTGCTTGCCTTGGTCCCCGCAGAGCCTGAGCCTCCACCTGCAAGCCTGCCGAGGCTGCCGGCTCTTCAACGGTGGCCAGTGTGTGCGGAAAGCTCACTTCTACGCTCACCCGCTACTGGCTCCCTTACTGCAGTCACTACCACCCACCTCTCTGCCATCGCTGGGTCTCCTGGGACTCCCTCGTCATCAAGGGCACATAAGCCAGTCTCCCTTTCTGTTAGTTTCAAATGTCTTTTCACTCATAATTGACATTATTTCTTGAAGTGCTAATGCTTACTGATAGCACAAAACAGTGTTTGTGATCTGCCCCGCCAAAGTGTTTTTGGAGCCTGACGTGGTCACTGCCCCTGATCACACAGTGCACTTGCAGGGTGTCCACGGCTATGAGAACCCCCCCAGGTCACTGTCACCAGCACCACACGTGTGCAGGCAGACCCCGGATAAGGGCGTGTCTTAAACAGGAAAGATCAAGACGTTCTTGAACAAGGACTGACTTCAGACTAATGAAACCTTAACTTTTTAAGCATGCTAACAGGCTTCAAATAACCATATTTTCCAATTCTGAGGAAGTCTCTACTCAGAAAACTACAGCTGCTACATCTCCCCCAGCTCCAACTTATCTAAGTGGAAAGCAATTCCCTTATTTATCCATTTCCTCAGAAAACAAAATGGCTTGTTTTTCCTCACCCTCTCCAACTACTGAACACCAGAGACTGACTCAGAGCTGAGGCACCAGGAGGCGGCCTCCCAGGGGCTCCGCCCGCACCGCTGTCCAGTGTCACCTCGCTCCACAGGCCCCTGGGTTGGGCTGGAGCCACCCCGTGCTGTCTGGGAACCAAACACACCCACACCCCTCCCTTGCCCAGGGGGCCTCTCGGGCAGACACAGACACGCCCTGCGCAAAAGGTCTCCCTCACCTTGTCTCTCTGCCCCGATCCCAGGTGGCTCCCACATTCACTGCTCCCCTCTCCCCATGCTGCCCAGTCTCTGTCTCAGCCTCACTTTTGCCCGAGGGACTGCACTCCTTTTGAGAAGCCTGAGAAAACCAGCTTTCTATCTTCTAACTATCTTCTATCTTCTAACTATCTTCTATCTAACTATCTTCTTTTCTATCTTCTAACTTCTCTCTTTTTAAAGAAGTTCTTTTCAGCAAAAATCTCCCCAGCTTCGCATCTCCTAGCCTTACTCCAGTGAGTCGCCTGACTTGGTGACAGCCCCAGGCAAGCCGCACAGCACCCTGCCTGCCACCAGCGCCGCAGCCGTCTGTGGGGCGGCACAGCCTAGAACCAGCGCTCGGACTGCCCACCCCGACAGCATTCGCCCCAGAAGCTGGAGTGCACAGAACCTGCCGGGGGAAGCGAGGCACGAGACGAGGCACGTGGGCTGGATGGGCGCGGGCGCCGGAGACTCACCTCAGCCCTCATGCGCTTGGCCCGGCGGGCGGGCGGGCCCGTCTCCAAGGGGGGCACCGACTGCCTCTGGGGGATGTCGTGAGGTTTGTACTCCTTGTCCTTCGTGTCTGTGGCCAGGTGTGGCTTCTGCAGACACTAGAAACAAACAATCATTCTGATGAACCTCCCCTCTTTTTAACAACAGAGAATTCACTGGGTTTTCAAAAGGTAACAATTATTTATGTTCATACATAACACATCTGCAAAATTTTAAATCTAAATAAACAAAGACAAGTTGCAGTTGTTAATCATACATACACACCGTATAGCAGGCTTGAATTTTTTTATGGCAGGTTCTAGGTAGCAGCCTCCCCCGCTCAATACTACAGCTTTTCCTCCAATATTTTTTAAAGATTGATTGATTGCATTTATTTACAGAGGGGAAGGAAGAGAAAGAGAAACACTGATGTACAAGAAATATCCAAGTTAACCTCTTACACGCCCCCAGCTGGGGACCCGGCCACCACCCAGGCATCGAACCGTGCCCTTTTAAAGGGAGCAGGATGGTGCCCAGCTCACTGACCCCCGCAGCCAGGGCTCTCTTGCCAACAACGGACCCTGTCCCACTGGTCCTGCCCAGCAGCCATGTGAGGGTGCAGGGGGGACACGTGCAGGGTGTCTGCTCACAGAAAGGGAACGAGCTCTGTGCCCTCTGCCCAGCAGCCCGAGCTCCTGTTGAGAGCCCTGTAAACTGATGAGCCATTCCTTCAGGCCCCTGCTCTGAGCACACCCTGACCCCTTTGAGCAGGTGAGAGGTGCTGCTTTGACTCACGTAGTTATCAGTGTCGTCAGGTTACAAGGGGCCGGCAGGCTCCAGACGCTTCCAGTCAGCCAACTGCGATTACTTGCTTATGGCTGTCAGAAAGGCCTCTAAAAACTTCCCGTAAAAACTTTCCACACTGAAAACAGCTCATCTTTTACAAGTGTTTAGATTAACAAAATACAGAACCCAATGGGTTTCTTAAATTTCACATTCCTGAGTCTATGCGGCAATGTTCTCTTAACAAAAGGTATCACCTGAACTGAGAAAGCAGGTCTCTGGACTCAAGTGTTCTGCCATGTTAAGGGCTTCCCTCAAAGTCTGACTCATAAGACAATGGCTGACGGGGTAGGCAGCCCACAGCCCTGGGCTGGTTTTCATCAAAGAAGAGTCTCATCTCGCTTTCTGGCTTTGCCTTTTTCTCTTTGGTTTGACTCTGAGCGTGCAGAAAGAGGGCGCTCAACGTTGACGGGATCTAGCATGAACCACCTCCTTCGTAAGCAACCCTGAAGCATCAAGGAGGCATTGCTCAAAGTAGGTTCCAGAGTGAAACCAGCGACCGCTGCACCACACACAGCAGCGACGCCTGGGCAAAGACACATGGAAATAACCACCTCCCAGAACCCTCGGTTCTGCGGGCACTGTCTTGGTGCTGTCTCACCAACGACACTGGCTCCTTCCTCAAAACCTCTGCAGAAAGAATCTACAGAACGGCAGGACGAAACAAACGAAAACTTTAAAAAAAGCCAACCACCCAACAAAATGTTTGGGGTTTTTTGTTTTAATTTAGAAAGTCAGAGGTAGGAGTGGGCGGTGGAAGAACCGGGCTCCAGAAACAAGTCCTGGGAGCCGGGGGCGGGGGGGGGGGCCCTCCAGGACAGAAGCACCGCCGCTTCGACGCTCTGGACCACACGAGTGACTCCGCCACCACCACCCTGACTGTCCCCGTGCACAGGCCTGGACGGCCTGAGTGACGTGGCGTGGGCGCTGCCCTCCACCGCGCATCAGAGTGTTTGCTGACAGCACACGGGGGGAGTAAAACCTGTCCCTCCCTGGAGTTAACCTCTTTTATGTATTAAAAGAACTTACTATTTGAGACATAAAAGTATGTGTGATTAGCAGAAATACAACCTGAGCTGAACCACAGAAACTGTATTAAGTGGAGGGTCAGAAATTCAAGTATTACATCAGAACCCCCTCTGCCATGAGTCTAAATGGCCACGGCCCGTGGTCTTCCTCGGTTTCTTTACAACGATCTCAGACCTCGAGTGAAGTCCAGCCCAGAGGCCTTTAGAGCGCACAAGGAGCTTCATCAGTGCGCCCGAGACACGCACCTGAAGTGTGCTTTAGAGCCGAGGCTACGACAGACAGACCCTCTAACTGTGAACCTTCACCTGAGAAACTGGGACTGAAAGGTCAAAGGTCATCGACGGGGTGGGGGGGGGGAATGCCAGAATGACACCCTCCCTCAGGGAGGAAGCAACCCCTCAGGGAACTTAGAAAAGACCTCGATGCAAGACGGAGGCCTCTGCTCCCTTCCAGCTCTGGTACATCCACACTCAGCTTCCTCAAGTTTCCCAGGATGCACCGAGGCTTTGATTCACCCCTCTGTAACAACGCCTTCACTGTATATCACGTTCTTCTTTTTTTTAAAAAAGATTTTATTTATTCATCTTTAGAGGGGAAGGGAAGGAGAGAGGGAGAAATATCAGTGTATGGTTGCCTCTCATGGGTCCCCTGCTGGGAACCACCTGCAACCCAGGCATGTGCCCTGACTGGGAATCGAACCACGATCGTCTGGTTTACAGGCCCACGCTCAATCCACTGAGCCACACCAGCCAGGGCTCATGTTCTCTTCTTAATACCGGACCCTGTTTCTTGCAGAAGTTTTAAGTTTAGAGCACAGTTGAGCGGAAGGTCCAGAGAGCCGCCCGGCCCCCGACCCCACACTTGCACAGCTCCCCCGTCATCAAGACCCGCCCAGGAGCAGCCTGTGACCCGTCGTCCCGTGTCTGCGGGTCACTCGAGGGCCTGCTCTGGTGTCCTCCGCCCCGGGGTTTAGACGAGTAGGGATGGGCCCGCCGTCACAGCGTCCCCAGGCTCACCGCCCTGACTCTCCTCTGTGCTCTGCCTGCTCCCTCACACCCCAACCCCCGCCCCCACCTGCGGCCACCAGTCTTTTCACGGCCTGCAGAGCTCTGCGTTTCCACAACGCCACACAGGTGGAATCGGGAAGCGTGAGGCCTGTCAGACTGTCTTCTTTCACTTGGTCATAAACATTTAAGGTCCCCCCCGCGTCTTTCCACGGCTTGAGAGCTCATTTCTTTTTACTGATTCACTGTCTGGATGGACCACACTTCATTTATCCATTCACTAACTGAAGGGCATCTTGGTGCTTTCAAGTTTTGGCCATTAGGAATAAGGATGCTATAAACATCCACGTGGATGTAAGTTTCCAACTCCTTTGGGCAAACACCAAGGAGCCCAAGCGCGGGATCCTATGTTAACAGCATGTCAGCCGATCTAAGAAACCACCAAACCGTCCTCCGCAGCGGCCGCCTGTGCTGCGCCCCCTCCGGCCCCAGGCGGGGCGGGCGGTTCCTGTGCCTCCAAGTCCTCCTGGCACCTGTGCCATCAATGCTCTGGCTTTTACCACGTTCTGACAGGCATGCCATGATATCTCACTGTTACTTTTCATTCTTTTAAAAAATACATGAATTCCAATTTCCCTTCCTCTAAGAATCGCTTTCAAAATAAGATGCCTAAAGATTTATATACAGAGAATACTTATTATATAATAAAACTAATTGAAGCCAATCTAAACATTCAACAACAGGAAAAATCAAATCAAGATCTGGCTATAAAAATAAAATGCCCAAGTCACTAAAATTAGATTTCAAAACATGTAACGACACTGTAAGTGCCGAGGACTTGTGAAAGAGGAGAAAAGCAGAACACACCGTGTGTGTGCAGAGCTCACTCTCGTGTGTGTGTGCGCACACGCGCGTACAAAGCCGGCCTTGGGGAAGCGCCGGCGGGAGGACAAGAACTGACTTTCTTGTCGTCAGACCTCCCTTCGGTCGAAACTTCCTACGATGAGCAGTGTCGGTGCCCAACACAGAGCTGGCACGCGGCAGGCCCCTCGACCGGCCCGAGTCTGTGCCACAGAGCCCGTCTGTGCAGACCGTCTTTACCGCCGTGCCCCCCACTACGACACCGCACTGCCATCGGCTCGAAGAAAGGGTGTCTCTCAGCATGGGTCCCAGAAGGCGGACAGGCCCTCCTGCCCCTCTTCACTGTGACTGTGACCATGAGACACAGGGGGGTTAACAAGGGGAAAGTCTATGTGGGCGACTCTCTGGATCTGACTACAACACAGAGGCATAAAGATTCCACACGCAACATTCTGAAAAGTTTCATCCAGGGGTTCAAGCAACACCCACACGATGGATATACATGCAAAGGCCTACCACTTGCTGAATGTCCCGTTCTTCTAGGCTGAAAGGGCAAGCCCATCGGAATCAAGGAAGCGAGGGAAACACGCAAGGTTAGCAGCTGACCGGAACCTACGTGCCACCTTCCTGCCTCTCCCTGCGGCACAGTAACAACTCTGGCTGCTCTGAGGAACGTGAAGAGTGCGCAGATCATGATGTTCTTTTCCACCCTACCAGAGCCTTGAGGGTGGTGGAAAGTTTTGATACTGTTGTTTCAGCTTAATTAGAACAACAGTTTTAGACTTCCGCCAAGATGGAGGCTTAGGTGGATGTGCCGTGCCTTCTCACACAACCACGTTTAGAGACAACTAAATATTAGCAACAGAAAACACAGCCAGAACACGGAAAATTGAACTTTTCGGAAGTCCGTTAACAACAAATTCTTCAGCCTGACCGGTAAGGGGCGAAACCAGCAGCTGGTGAAACGGGATTGCACAGGAGGACTCGGTCAGACGGACTCAGGCGCGGAATCCAGGCACAGGGTTGGACCTAGTGAGCGACCGGAGCGAGCCACCAGGCAAGCGACCGCGGGGGAGCGGTGCTGCGTGTTGGTGCTGCGTGTTGACTGTGGTTGCGCATTTGTGTGCGGGCAGACAGGCGAGGGAGTAGGCGGTTGGACCGGGCCCGGCGGGTCCCCGCGGCAAGCGGCAGTGGAGGGCGCCGCCATTTCCCCCGCTCTGACTCCACCTCCACATACAGACAGCGTCATAACCCAGCGACTCTGAGTGGCACGGCCCTGGTGAACCACCTAAGACGCTAATCCTCACCCAGCTGTGAGAAACAGCAGAGGGTGCCGCCATTTCCCCGCTCTGACCACGCCCCCACATACAACGTCACAACCCAGCGACCTGGGAGTCCAAGGCACTGCTTCTCACACTTAAAGGGCCAGAACAGACCAAAAATGTTGCAAGATCTCAAAGCCCCAGAACTCATAGATCTAAGCGATGAAGAAATAGCAAAACTCTCAGACGCACAGTTTAAAACACTGGTCATCAGGATCCTCACAGAACTGGTTGATTATACGGACAAATTAGACAAATATATGAAGGCGAAACTAATTGAAATGAATGGAATTGCACAGGACACCAATAGCAATGAAAAGGAAACTGGGACTCAAATCAATGGAGTGGACCAGAAGAAAGCAAATAATGGCCAAACAGAAAAGAGTCAAGAAGCAAGAATTCAAAAAAATGAGGAGAGCCTTAGGAACCTCCAGGACATCTTTAAACACTCCAACATCCGAATTATAGGGGTACCAGAAGGGGGAAAGGCACAGCCACCAGTGGAAAACTTATTTGAACAAATAATAAAGGAGAATTTCCCCCAAGCTGGCAAAGGAAATAGACTTCCAGGAAATCCAGGAAGCTCAGAGAGTCCCAAAGAAGTTGGACCCAAGAAGGAACACACCAAGGCACATCATAATTACATTAGCCAAAATTAAAATGAAGGAGAGAATCCTAGAAGCAGCAAGAGCTAAGGGGACAGTCACCTACAAAGGAGTCCCCATCAGACTGTCAGCAGATTTCTCAAAAGAGACCTTACAGGCAAGAAGGGGCTGGAAAGAGGTATTCCAAGTCATGAAATCCAAAGACCTACAACCAAGATTGCTCTATCCAGCAAAACTTTCATTTAGAATGGAAGGACAGATAAGGTGCTTCTCAGATAAGATCAAATTCAAGGAGTTCATCATCACCAAGCCCTTATTATATGAAATGTTAAAGGGACTTATCGAAGAAAAAGAAGTTAAAGAAACATGAACAGTGAAAGGACAACAAACTCACAGTTATTAACAACCACACCTAAAACAAAAGCAAACTAAAAGGACAGCTAGATCAGGAGTGGAAACATAGAAATGAAGATCTCAAGAGGGTTAGCAACAGGGGAGTGGGAGGAGGAGAAGGGGGGACAAGGTACAGAAAATAAGTAGCATAGACAGTAGATAGAAAATAGATGGGGGGGGGCAAGAATAGCATGGGAAATATAGAATCTAAAGGAATTGAGACACATGGTCATAAACTAAAGGGGGGTAATGGTGGGGATGGGGGGGTAGGGTGGAGGGGAATGAAGGGGGGAATAGAACAACTGTAACAGCATAATCAATAAAAAAAATTAAAAAAAAAAAAAAAAAAAAAGAACAACAGTTTTTATCAAAATAATGTAGCAAATGCCATCCCTGTGAGGAACCAGTCAGTTACCCAGAGCTCAGCCCCCCACCCCCTAGTCAGCGTCCCAGCTGACAAGTGCCTTGGAGAGCTCAGCTGGCACAGCAGGCCATCACTGGTTATGCTTTCATGTGACAGCCAGGAACACACATGAAGTGGCGGGTGAATGCAAAGGCATCAGCCATGACAAGTGGACGATAAGCAACTCCTGATTGTAGAGAGAAATCTATAGTGAAGTTAATACAAATTTCAGCTTTGACAACAAAAGGCCATTTCTACAACCTTATCCGTCCCCAAACAAGCTTCTAAGTGTGGATGCTCTCAAAAGAGAAACAAAAACCCTGGAAGAATAACTCACACAACAAAGACTTATAAACAATGCCCCCCCAACACACTCAAGGCCTGCTCACCCCCGCAGCAACAGCTCACCCACCAGCAATGAGCTGGATGGGCCAGGGCCGGCCTGACACTCACCCTCAGACTGTCCCCGGACAGGAACAGGTTGTAGGGGTTGAGGATCCGCTCGTAATGCCCTCTGATGTGGGAGCCCACAGCTTTGCCAGGAGCGAACCCCATCTTGGTGGCAATTTTGGTCCATTTTCTGTCCTTGCAAACAGCTGTAAACCCACCTTCTTCTGCAACTAACTGTTAAATGAAATGGCAAAATTGATTAGAAAAACCTACATGGAGACCATGTCTAATCCTCTCATGCCTAGGTATGACTCCAAAAACAAAATATTTTTGGCTAAGGTAAGCTTTCAAAAATTTTTTCTAAGCCAAAAGAAAATGCACATACCTATCATTTTTAAGCTAGAAAATTAAATCATGACTTTTGATAGCACGGTTCATAAACACTTTCAATCCCCCCACCCAAAAAGCTACTCCTCCAAAGCAGTCAAGATTTTCTGGGAGACAGAACTAGATTAACAATTAAATCTCTTTATAAAGAAGGGGTCCAACTCAGTAAACCTTAACAAAACCACACACACTGTGAAGTAAAAACGACAGCAGCGTGTTTGGTGGGAAGAACCCGGACTTTAGACTAAAGTGACCCTGAGTTAAGGCACTGAATTATGACTTGGCTTTTCCAGCTTCGCCCCTATTCTCCCCAAGCCCCACTGCCTCATCCGTACTGAAACAGACAAGAGCATCGCACAGGCCTGTTGTGGAGTTAAAGAAACAGGCCGCAGGAAAACATTTCACAGGATGAGGCTTTCAGACCCGAAGGGTCAGAGCCCCATCAGCTAACCTGAATGAAGAAGTTCATGTCACACACTGCAAACGAGCATGTTTGTGTTTAAGGCAAAGAAGGTCACTTCCGTGCTGCCAGAGGGTCCACTGCAGGAGGGGGAGCTCGCTAGCCTTTACCTTGTTAAGCTGAAACAAATCCAAGATCTTCCTCTCCACGTGGGGGATTTTCAGAGTACTTCCCTGTAACTCCCAGTACTTCGCAATCTGATCCAGGAAATTCAACTTCACACGAGTTTGAGCCTTAATGACAAAGAATTGTGTTTCAATTTTATTTTAAATAATTTACTTACTTATTCTTGGGGAGGGGAGAAAGAGAGGGAGAGAAACATCAATATGTGGTTCCTCTCACAAGCCCCCACCGGGGACCCAGCCTACAACCCAGGCATGTGTCCTCATTAGGAACTGAACTGGCAACCCTCTGATTCACAGGATGGCACTCAATGCACTGAGCCACACCAGCCAGGGCCAATGGATGCTTCTTGCTCACCTCAATGTTTCTCTCCTCCTTAGCCCTCCCTTCTCCTCTCTCTAAAACTAAATAAAATCTTATTTATAAATAAATAAATAAGTAAATAAATAAATCTTTATTTATAAGTAAAATCTTTAAGAAAAAGAAAAAAGACCTCAAAGTTAGTGCCTATCTCCTATCTTCCAAGTTCAACCTGAAAATGCATACCCTATACTACCGGCACCCACAAAACTCTAGTGAACACATGTTCCCTTTAAATTAAGAATGTTTAATACAGAAAAACAAAACATGGTTTGGTTAAATACAAAAACCAGATTAGCAAACCATCAACGTGAACAGCCCATGCCCCATGTCATCAACACCCAAGCCTCCTCCACCTTGTACACGAGGGTCTTGAGAGCCAGGGCCGAGTGAACATTACTTCTTGCCCAGAGAACGCCCTGCCCAATCCTTGGGGAGTTAAAGCCCCTGTGGAATGAATCTGGAGTGAAGACATGTATTTGGAAGAAAATTAGAGCTGAAGTATCATTTCCTTTATATGATTCTATTCTTTTTGAAACCTAAATTCTAGTGACTGTCACCTAAACTTAGAAGGATTTAGGCCCTGGCTGGTGTAGCTCAGTGGATTGAGCACAGGCCTGCGAACCACACAATCGCGGTTTGATTCCCAGTCAGGGCACATGCCTAGGTTGCAGGCCAGTTCCCCAGTTTGTTGTGTGCTAAAAGTAATCACACACTGACGTTTCTCTCCTTCACTCTCTCTCTCCCTTCCCCATCTCTCTAATAAATAAAATCTAAAAAAAAAAAAAAAAAAGGCCACTAGATTTGTGACGGAGCATATTCAGAGGAGGCCCCTCTAGAATCCAGGCCACCGGAGCAGCAGCTGAGACGTTACCTCCAGCTCATTCAGCCTCTGGATGCGCGGGGTGAAATGGAGCTTGTCAACATCACAGGCAAACGGTGGCTGCCAATCCTGGGGAAGAGGCAAAGGCTTTTATTAGAGGAGTGTGCAAGTCTGACCTTTTAAAAATTGTTTTAAATTAAAACCCTGTTATCTCTAAACAGTCAAACAAAACAGAACGTAGAATTGTAGTTTCAATTAAGATTGAAAATACACATAGGTGAGATACAATGAAAAAGACTACTTTCTTATCAATTTAATGGCTTTCTTTCAGTAGAATGTCCCAAATGCAAGAGGTAAAACTATGCACATTGTAAACCCTCATTTATAAATCATGAAAACAAGCAGTGTTTACAAGCCCCTCAATGGAGTCCAGTGGCCGTGCACTTGGGGGCGTTATCAGGAAAGCTCTGTTGATGCCAATGACCTCATTCAACACCTTCCAAACTGAGAAAAAAACGTGCTCATTTGGTGAGGCTGCTGCTTCTCCCCCCTTCCTTCCCTCAGTGTGGGGCTTGACACCAAGCACCTTTAACTGGTTCAAATTAAAGACCTCCCATCCTTCGTGAGCCACTAGTAAAGCCACTTACTGTGAAGACTTTTGTTTCAGACTATGGAATTCCACTTTCACACCTTAAATCAGAGGCTCTTAAATTATGTAGGGACTTGAGTGTGTATTGATTTTTCTGGGACGGGCCACAGCTTTCACCAAGTTCTCAGAGGGGCCAAAAGAAGCCCTGGAAGCAGATCTGGCTTTCCTAAAAATGTTCGCACCTCGTCGCCTTACCTGCTTCCTTCCCATCCCTGCTCCTTGCACTTCAGACCTGACAGTGGGTGAGACGGCCGCCTGTTGCTGAGAAGGGCAGCAGCCTACGTACAGCCCAGAACAGACAGAGCGCTGCACACAACGTTGGAGGCCTGGGTTTGAAAGGTGTAAACAACAGCTACCTTTAGGACTATGGGGAGAATTAAAATTACAAATATAAAAGGCTTTTATTGTAAAGCAAAAATAATAACTTACTACATTAAGTTCCGGCAACTAAACTACAATTTTCCCCTACCAAAAAATCTCCACAACCTCCGCTTCCAAGGAGCCTCTGACCCCTCACCTTCACCTGTAAGGACTCTCTCCATCCAGCCAACCCTAGCTGCCAACTAGCACTTTTCATCACAGCAACTTTAACACAGGTGGACAGGCTCCTGATTTCCCTTTTTGCTCCAATGCTCGGTTTTAAAGCACGGTGCCACCATTCACCTCTCCCTTGGACAGTAAAACCTGGGAAAGAGAAGAGGTTCCAGAATCACACAGCCCAGGCTCAAATCCTGACTCTGCGAGGAGCTTTGTTACCAGTTAATCTCCCTGCCCCAGGTGCTCCTAGAAATGAAAGGGAAACTATAAGGCTTATATCAAGTATCTCAGAGAAAGACTTTACACAGGTACCTGGCGTTTACAAAGTAAATGGCCAAAAAAAGTTAGTATCTTTTTCTAAAATGTTCATCTTCATAATGTTAAACAAAAAAATGTATTGTCTTTTACTAACTGTGCCATAAACATATAATATTTCATTGTATTGATACTTTTGGGTCCTTTCTTTAACTTTACATTATTACTCATTAAACAAATTAGCCATATCTTTACGGAAGCTCGTTTTAGCCTCATTTGACGAGGGAAAAGAAGTCGCCCTGACCATAGTGGTCACCGTACTTTAACAGCCTCTTAAGAGCAGCGGCTTGATTTGGCTCTGTAGATGGACGACGATTACATGTAAGTGTGAAACAGCATTCGGGTTCTTTTAATCCTCACCTGAGAATATGCATATTGATTTTAGAGAGGGGAGGGAGGGAGATATGCAACCATTCAAGAAACATCGATTGGTTGCCTCCTGCACATGAAACCACAACCTAGGTACGTGGCCTGACCGGAGATCAAACCTGCAAGCCTTTGGTGCACAGACAAGGTACCGCTCAACTGAGCCGCCCGGCCAGGGCTAAAATGTTTTTTTCAGGAGGAATTAAAACTACAACTACCTTCATAAAACAGTGCTGCTGATGTTCAATTAATGTTACTGAACAAGTAAAAAATCTAATTAAACAAGTTAATGTCAAATGCCTCTATAAAGCTAACAGTAAAAGCTGTAAAACCAAAAGCTCTGACTCCTAAAAATTTGCCAATTAAGAAAACTTAGCAACAAGACTTTGTAAACAAAGAGAACAGTTGTTTAGTAAAAATCACACCATACTCCTTCGTCAGATAACTGTATCCGCTGAGGCCCGCGCTATGCGGCATGGGCTGCCCTTCGTCCAGAAGACATGACACCCCCAAGGTGTCCGTGGTTAAACCCTTCCACTGTGAGAACAGATAGCTGACCCCCTACCGGAAAATAAATCAGCAGCTCACAGACCCAGTTTTACCATGAGAAAAAACATCACATAAATTCCAGCAGTGGGACATCCTATAAAGAAACCCTCAGTCCGTACTCCTCAAAACTGTCAAGGTCATTAAAAACAAGGACAAGTCTGAGAAACTGTCACAGGTAAGAGGTGAAAGAGGCAGGGCCGCTGAGAGAACGCGGTGCCCTGGGTGAGACCCTGAACGGAAAGAGAGGCAGCAGTGAAAATGGAGGAGACCCGAATTAGTTCACGAACAAAGTGTAGGAACCTGCGTCACCAACACTGGTTCATTAAGTGTAACCAAACCTAATGCAGCGACAAAACAAGACCCAAAAGGCCCACTTCAACAGTGAAGCTGGGGCTGGCCGTGTGGGAAAGTGGACTGTCTGCGCTCTAGACACCACCAGAAAGCTTTCACTCCACAGAAGCCAAGAGGGAGGTGACAAGCTGAAGTCTTCACCAAACACCTCTGGCTCCATGGGGGCCCCACCGGGTCTGTCCCCAGGAGCCCAGCCTCTGCAGGAGCAGCTTGCCTTCCTCACCACGCAACCGCGCTCAGGCTTCTGGCCTTAACACCCCCTTTTAAACTTAAAAATTGAGGCCCTCAAAGAGCTTTAGCTTATATGAGAAATATCTACTCACTCTCATCACATGAGAAATTAAAAGACATGTTTACAATCATTTAACTTAATAACAAGCCAAAAATAGCAGAAGAGCGGCATTGTTTTATTTTGCACAGATGTTGCAATTCTCTTTACATCTGGCTTAACAGAGATAAGCTAGACTTTCCGATCTTCTTCTACAGTCCATCCGTTGTAACATGTTGGTTTGGTGAAAGAATGTGAAGGAAATCTGGCCACTGACGCTTGGTTGAAAAGAGGGCATTCCCCTCCACCTGCTGCAGGGGTCTTATGAACCCCACCGCGCCCTCAGCCCACAAGGACCAAAACCTTGGAAACAACTGCCCCGGCAGGATTCCCCATCCACCCTGTGCCTCCGGCAAATGCTCTCCACCCAGATTTTAAGAGCAGCCCCTTCAAGTGCTTCCTCCTCCCACAAATCACGATTTCCTGACGTATTTGTATAATGCCAACATTTCTGACATACCTACGTCAAATCAGTTCTACTATCAAAAACAATCCTGAAAATACCCACATGATCATTTGCGAACATGTATGGTATTAAAATGTAAGTACTAAGGAATAAGAAAACTTTTGCTCAAGTTACAGCTCCTGTAGATAGATCAGGCCTGATAAAGTATTGGTTTTCAGTTTCACAGAACTACTTATTTAAAAGAAATGTCTTAATTTCTGAATATTAAATGCTTGGAAAGGCTCCCTGGCCAGCCATTACACCAGGATGCAGGTCCGATCTCCAGACAGGGCACATACAAGCAACCAATGGATGCAAAAGTAAGTGGAACAAACAAATCAATGTTTGTTTTTCTTTCTATCCATCTAAAATCAATTTTTAAAAAATTTCAGCCCTGGCTGGTGTAGCTCAGTGGATTGAGCGCAGGCCTGGTCCCCAGTGGGGGGCACATGAGAGGCAATCACACACTGATGTTTCTCTCCCTCTCCTTCTCATTCCCTTCCCTCTCGAAATGAATAAAATCTTTTTTTTAAGTTTTTTTTTTTTTTTATTTCAAATACATCACATGTCCTAACCAAATGATGCAGTATTTCAAGGGAAAAAATTCTTGGAAAGGCGAAGGGCTACCGTATTTTCTGGACTGTAAGACGCAGCCCCCCCCCCTCAAATTTGGGAGGAATAATGGTTGTTAATGCTGTTCTTGAGTTGTTCACATTCACATTGGTGAAATATCATGTTAATAAATATCCTACCATATTTTTTGCTTCAAAAACATTTTTCCTATTTTCCTTCTCTAAAACCTAGGTGATTCTTATAGTCAAAAAAAACACCACGTTATTTTAATGGACTATTGGGTCTATTAATACATTAAAATATACGAAAAAAGGGGGAAACGTCATGGTATTTATTTTTTAAGCATTAGTCTCAGTAAATTCCTCTTTACCCACTTTAATGAAACTTAGCAAGAATATTATACATTAGCAGGGCCTCTAGATGATTTACTTGTTACTGTCAAAACCATCTAAAAATATAAAATGGTCTTTCAACAGATACTGCTGCCCACACCTCCAAGTGAGTTTCCTTCTGAGTCACTTCACAGAACAACTAAGTACCATCTTGTTTTGTTCATAAGCAAGAGAGCAAGGGAGTGAGTGTATCGCATGAAGACCTTCTCTCTTCCAAAATGTCCCCAGCATCTACCCAAGTTACCTGTACTAGAGTGACTCAGGTTCCTGACAACACAATGGGTCACGAGGAAAAGTCAGCAGGAGAGCATCATTCCTTTCAAAACATTCCTGGGCATCTCATGGCACAGAAGCCACCGAGTGGGGCCACAGCCTCGTCAGACCTTCTCCCCCAGAACGACGGCAGCTGGAGCAGATACCAACTCACGTCCCTACACCAGGCCGTGTGGTGATCAAGTAGCTATACCGCAGCAGCAGCTCTTCCCCAAGGAAAAGATCTCGTAAGTAGTTCGATTGTTTTCTTTAATACCTAGTATCCCAGGACAAAAAGACCATTTCTTTTTTTTAAAGATGCATTTAAAACTGGGGGGAAGGAGAGAGAAACAATGGTGTGAGAGACGCAGACAGGCTGCCTGCAGCTTGCCCCCAACCTCACCCCCAAAACGGGGGCCTGGCCTACAACCAACCCAGGGCCTGTGCTCTGACCGGGAACTGAACTGGCAACCCCTAGGTTCACAGACCAGCACTCAATCCACTGCGCCATACCAGCCAGGAAGGGCCAGACCTGCCTTTTCTCTCCTTGGCTTCCCAGCACACTTCCTGCAGCCTCCAACTAGGTCCTCTTCGGCCCTTACGTGCTGTGTTTCTGGGGTTCTGTCACGATCCTCTTCCTCACTGTACACAGTACGCCTCCTTTCCTCCTGAACCAAAGCATCCCCGACATCCCAGGCAGCACCCTCTCCTCGTGCTCCACCCGCACCCACACCCCCAGCCCCAATGGCTTCCGCTGTTCCCCACACGACCTCCAGCACCCACACACACGCTACGTAACCTAGTTCTCGGCAGTGCACCGAGTTCTTTCCAGTCAAAGCTGTCCATTTCTGAAACCCTAGAATCTGAACACAATGCTCTCAGTAACTGAATGGAAACCACCACCAGCCCCAAGGACCCAGTTCATGTCTTCCCTCACCAGAGCCAGGCAAAAAAGGACTTCCCTAGTTTCCCACAGCACAGTGGAGAACTTCTAATTCTGAAGTTAACAGGTTAAGAGAATTCCTGTTATTAACAGGTGCCAAATGACCAGAGGAGCTACTTAAAATTCAAACACTTGGGCCCCACAATGGTCAGTGACATTGATGAGCCAGGAGTTTCCATACAGATCAATCAGGCAACCAACCAACAATACAGGAAATGGCGGAGCTCATACGTATTGATAAACGAAAAGAACGAAGTATGATTTATTTACAATTCTGCAAACAAATGTGATGGACACAAGAAAGGGTGCGCGATCCCATGCACAACGCTCCTCACTGTATTCGCTGCCCGCACTTGTGCCTGGACAGCCAGGAGGCGGCGGGGCAGCCACAGTCTCCCTCCCAAACCACTCGTGAGGGGTGGGAGGGCCCAGGCCGTGCCTGGGCTCTCTGCAGAGGACCGCCGGGCAGGAGATGGACATGGACTTGGAAGTAAAAAGAGGCTGTGGTCTGCAATCCCCGATCTGTCCTTAGAAGCTGTGACAGCGGAGACGAATGACCTCACCCCTCTCCGCAGTCTCCTGGTCTCTGAGGTTGTCATCACACCTTAGGGGGAAAGCACACACACCAGAGGCCCAATGTTTTGATCCCTACCCTGATATTCTTTCCATGAAATCTGTTCTCTGATACCAACCAACCACCAAAACCAGATTAGCTTGGATCCTAAATCAAACTCTAAACCCTGTCTCCTTCAAAGAATCTTGATGAGCAATTACCTATTATATGAGAAAGAAATTTTATAAATGGAGGCTTGGAAAAGCCACAAGGTTAGCAGTGGAAAAAAGCAGATGCAGAGTTCAGAAGACTGGGCTGCCATCAAGTACAATTTTCTAAAACCCCCCACCCCTACCTGCACAAACCCATGAGGCCAGCCGCACACTCGGAAGTCTGGGGGCTGTTCTGAGTGTCCAGAATGCATGGCAATACTGGGTAAGAGCCCCTCTGGAAGAAGAAAAATCTTGGAACACCTGGAACTTTACAAAATGAAGGTTATATTCCAATAACTCTCTTGATAGAACTCTGTCCCTCCCCCCCCACACACCTGACCACAAATAGGAAGCTACAAGAGCACAAATCCCAGGAGACCCTGCTCCCAGGTCTTCCCTCCAGTGAGCGCTGGTGAGGATGAGTCGGGACCATCTGGTTTCAATGGTACCCAGTGATGAGCTGGTACAACCACAAAGAAAACTGGGAGGATCTTGCCTTAAAGACCTTGTAATTATGCGGTTTTGATAGGAATTTGTCTCTGGAGTTAGGAGATGAGAGTAAAATGGTAACATTTTGGTATCTGCAGTCTGCAGTATGGATGCCTCATGGGCATATGTGCTTAATAAAAGCTCTAACCGGGTGTGCAGAACACACGAGGCTTTTAGACTTTAGTTTTCTGAACATTACAATTTAGTCAAGCTGGTGAAATGGCAAGAATTAACACAAAAATCTGCCTACAGCCACACAAAAAGTATACATAGCCGGGAAGAAAAAACCAACCTAGCTTTAGATTCACAACTAAAATACTCAATATTTAAAAGCTTTTTGTTTTGTTTTTTAAGGGGGAGAGTGCAAGCACAGCTGCCCACTACCACAAGTGATGCTGTCAGTTTCCCACGGCTGGGGAAGCGGAGGGGTCAGCTCACCTGGATGCGGTGGACAGGCCCCACCCTGGGAAAACTGCCCTCGTGATCAGGGCGCCTCCCCTGCCAGGGAAGCATAACATTCAAAGACTTAAAACTTGGACAGCCCTGGCTGGTGTAGCTCAGTGGATTGAGCGCAGGCCTGCGAACCAAACAATCGCGGTTCAATTCCCAGTCAGGGCACATGCCTGGGTTGCAGACGGGTTCCCTGCAGGCCAGTTCCCAGCAGGGGACCCATGAAAGGCAACCATACATTGATAAAAAAGATAAAAAAAAAAAAAAAACCACTTGGTACAGACACCACTGGAAGAGTGTTTTAATACGTCTAGAAGGCTATACTGAATAAATCGCTAGATTCAAGATAAAACCGAAGACCACACTCTAGAAACACATATATACATGGGGTCCACCTAAGAGGCAATGTTATGAGCTTCAATAACAGAAAATACATTAGAACAAAACACTGGAGAATCCTGGTATGTATGATTATATGGAAGTTCTAATTAGCTTTATTATTTTTAAAGTCTGATTGTTAGCAAAGAATATAACCCGGCTCTGTCCTGAGGAACAAAGTAAACACTCTCCACGCCACCTCTCCTACTTTCTCCCTACTTCACAAGTAAAACAATTGCAGAATAATAAAAGCTCATCCAATTTACTCTCCTGACAGGCAAGCATGGGAATGACTTAAATCACGCCTGTATACAGACACTGCACCAAATACATGGCACACATGGACCTGCAAGTTTTCTGATGTTTATAGCAGCTCTACCTAAAACTAGTGGGAAATTTTTTTTATCCCACTAGTTTTTAAAAACATCCAGGTATAGAAAAGCTTCACCTAAACCAACTGAAGAATTTACATTCTGTATATTCTAGTTTTGACGCTGGGTGGGCTTTCAATTTTTCAAGTGTCACTTCGTACAAGTTCACAAGCTGTGTGGAGATGGGGGACATGTACTTGGCACTGGCCCTGCCTCACAAATCTGTCCCCAGATTCTTCTTAGTGGGACAAATAAGCTTCGGGGCTTAAGCTCCATGCGGGACGTCAGTTAATCAATCTGGACAGCAGTCCTCGATCCATGTCAGATCCCCTTTTAACAGATGAGAAGGCATAACAGAGAAAATGACTTCGTCCAAGGTCACGGGGGAATTAGAGTCAAGATTCTACCCACTTATTTTTTTAAATCTAGAACCAGTGATGACTCCTTGTACATAAGAGAAACTGACTTTTAAAAATACACAAAAATCCACACATTCTCCCCTCGATAAAGCTTATTTTTATCCCTGCAATATAGTCCTTAAATTTTACATTTGTTGTAAAATAACAGATCACTAAGTGAAATGTAATCATCAAGTTCTAAAAACCTGTCCATTATGTGTGTTTCTGCCTGGCAGTGTGTAACAAGGCTCCTATCTGAGAAATGAAGTTGTTATTTTTGGGGAAAGAACCCTTAGATTTTAAGGGGTGTAAACAGAAAATATTTTCCAGTGACCCGACTTTTAAATTGCTCATTTTGCAGGCCAGTTCCCAGCAGGGGATGCATGAGAGACAACAACCATACAGTGACACTTCTCTCCTTCCCTTCCCCTCTAAAAAAAAAAAAAAAAATCCCTGGCTGGTGTTGCTCAGTGGATTGAGCGCGGGCCTGCGAACCAGACAATCGCAGTTCGATGCCCAGTCAGGGCACATGCCTGGGTTGCAGGCCAGTTCCCAACAGGGGACGCAAGAAAGGCACCCTACACATTGCTGTTTCTCTCCTTCCCTTCCCCTCTAAAGATAAATAAATAAAGTCTTAAAAAAAAAGAAATAAAACATTTTTTAAATAAATAATAAATTGCTCATTTTGAACATCTGAACAGGAAAGTTAGCAATTCTGCTGAAAGTCAAACCGCCGGTTTTCACAGCCATGTGAACCTAATGACCACGACCCAGTAGGAAGGCCCTTCTCCAGATCCTGACTTCGTTCCACTGCCTGATCACCCCACACTCCCAGCTCGGTCCGGCCGAGGCAGAGGGGAGGACAGAGAGCGGAGAGTGGAGGAGGCCCTCCACCCAGCACCAAGCTCAGCGTGTCAAGCGCTGGCCTGAAGAGGTTGACTTTCCACACAGGTTCCAACAACTGTGCAGCCAGGCCACCTGTGAAAGCTGGGAAACGCAGTCCCCATCCCACCTGGACAAAGGAACTGCCACTCACTGAGCCTGGAAACCTCACTCCCCCTGAATAATAAGACAGCTACACACCCCCCGTCTTGCTACTACTTTCTGTTCTCTTATATCCAGGAAAATAGCTAAAGAGACTATGTTCTTTAAAGCTCATGTGTATGGCTTGAATGTTTTCCTAATAAAAATGTTGTAATTTACACCCTGGAAGTGATGGCTGACAGGAAAAAAGCTACTCTTCACATCCCAAAAGAACACTTAAATGACTAAGAAATAAGTAAAACATGATCATATCGATGATTCAAAGCCACTTCTGAAGGGTACAACAACGATGCGGTAAGAGGAAGGGTCGCCCTGGCTGGTGTGGTTCGGTGGGTTCTGCGCCGGGCCTGTGAACGAGAGGGAGCCGGTCCAATTCCGGTTCGGGCACTTGCCCAGGTTTGGGGCTGGGCCTCGGGTCAGGGGCCTGCAAGAGGCAACTACTGGTGTCTCTCATCACGGTGAGACATCTCACTGTTGGCGTTTCTCTCCCTCTTTCTCCCTTCCCTCCCCTCTCTCTTAAAAGAAAAATAAACTGAAAAAAGAGGAAGGACCTACAATTAGAAATTTATGTTTAAAAAAAAAAAAGAACTTATGAGAATGCGTTAAATCAAATTCCACCTCTTTGTTCCAAACATAATTATGGAACATAAAAGACTCACTGCCCCAGGAACAGCTTTTCCTCATTAGTCTGGTTCATAAACTTGGAAGTATAAAAAAGCAAATTCAGCCCTGGCTAGTGTAGCTCAGTGGATTGAGCGTGGGCCTGCAAACCAAAGGATCGCGGTTTGATTCCCGGTCAGGGCACAGGCCTGGGTTGCAGGCTAGTTCCCCAGTACGGGGTGCGTGAGAAGTAACCCCATGTTGATATTTCTCCCTCCTCCTCTTTCCCTCTCTCTAAAAATGAATACAAAAAATTATCTTATTTTATTTTAATTGTTGCTCAAGTACAGTTTTCTGTCTTTAAAGAAAAAAAAATTCTTAAAAAAAAAAAATCCTTGTTAGGCTGCCTACTGCTGTTGGGTCTAGAACAAGTTTCTCACGACTCGATTTTAAAATCCAGTTACTAGTTTCTCAAAGTTTAAGTACTCTAAAGGACGCGGAGTAGTCCACTCACCCCAAGAGGGGCTCCCTACCTGCTATGCCTCTGGAGACCCCTCTTCAAGTGATGCTAACTTGACAGAAACTTCTCAAAGGAAAAGTACTGCCAGCCCTTCAGTTCCCCACATTTATTCCACCCAACTTGAACTTTTTGAGGTTGAAATGACCTTTGCCATTGAAGCAGGTATATTAGCACCATCTATAGAGAGAATCTAATTCTCTGACAAAGGGAGGAAAAAAATCAGCCCTGGCTGGAGTGGCTCTGCGGACTGAGCGCCTGCATGCGTACCAAAAGTCACCAGTTCAATTCCCAGTCAGGACACAGGCCTGGGTTGCTGGCCACTCCCTGGCTAGAGGCATGCAAGAGGCAAATTAATCCATGTTTTCCTCCCTCTCTTTAAAAATAAATAATGTCTTTTTTTTTTTTAATCACATCACCAGCTCAACACAAACCACGTTAAAAGGACTGTACAGAGAGGAAAGCAGGTTTTCCTAGGTCACCTGCTGTTTAACCTACAGATGGCCTGTGGACAGAGGAGCGCGCTGGGGGCAGGGGTGGGGTACCGGCTCTCCCTTCACCCTTCTCCACAGTCAAACTTCAATGTGCTCCAACTGAGACAGCAATGAGAGGTTACAAAAGTCTACAAAAAGATCCCATTTAGAGCACATGAACCATATTCTGCTTTTTTTATCAAGTACTTTTTTGGGTTTTTTTCCCCCCTTCTAAAAGAAAATTCACTAGCTGATTTTTGTCTGCCTATATTAAAAAGTATCCTAAACACCCTGGACCTCCTTATTGTTTCCAAGTTAAAGAAACAATTTTACTACTAATGTATCAACCAAAAATATTCCACATCTAGGCCAATACACCATAAAAAAAATAAGTACCTCAAAAACAAAGAATGAAATTCAAGGTTAATAATTTTCTTTAAGTATGTGTCTCAAAACAATTCAAGCCCCAGCTTTAATACAGAACATTTATTAAGATTTTTTTCAAAGGCAATTCTGTATTCCTTTGGCTCTTTCAAAGGTTTAGACTGCAAGTTTAGAAACAAATACTATAAGCACAGGAAGTTTTCCAGTGAAGGAGGGACGTGAATCTTCTGCTGCCTCATCCGTGTGCAGCGTCACTCACAGCCCATTCCAAACGTCTACCAACTCTTGTTGATTAGTTGTTCATCAGAGTGCAACTGGAGGGACGTGTCTGTGGCTACGGCTAGCACCAGTTCACCACTGGCCAAGTCAAGTTCAAACATCCACCCAAAGCCCACAACCAGCGAGGTCTGGTTGTGCTTTGGGAACACAGACAATTTCCAACAAGGACTACAGGACTTTATCCAGCCTCCTACAGAATAAGGGGAAAGAATGTTTTTTCCCTGAGCAGCACAATCCTAAATCTGTCTTTAAAAGCACTTTACAAATGGGTATGGGGTTTCTTTGACTGTGATAATGGTTGTACAATTCTGCGAAAAAGTGATTAATTGTATAGCATATCAACCGTCTCTCAACAATGCTGCTATTTTTAAAAAGTAGTTGCACATTCTTCCCTCGTTCAAGAATGGATCCTACTGATAAGTTTTTCTCCAGATATTAAGGGTTTAAGTTGGTCAAAGAATCGCAACTACAGAAAATTTTGTGACAGACTCCAGAAAAACTGGGAAAAACAGAGATCAGGCCGAAGTCAATCAGCCAGAAAAGAGGGAGCCAGACGAGCAATAACAAGAGGGACTGGGCTCCGGGGCCACTGAACACGGAGGATTTTGCACTTTTGGCTAAAAAGACAAAGGGATCCAACTGGTGACCCCGGGAAGTGACCGCTGGGAACTGGGTCTGCTGGGCCATCTGGGCCTCTTCGCCCTAACCCTGACCCCTGGACCCGCCAGGGAAGACACGTGTGGCAGCCCAGCTCTGGGGGGCCGGACAGGAAAGGAAGCCTCTGTGGGCAAGGGACGCGTCAACGCCATCACATCCACTCCTGTCCAACTATTTTTGCCTAACACCGTCTCCAAGTACCACACGGTACCATGGAAAATACAACATGCACCCCAGTACTTGTAAGGAAGAGATGAAAATTCGCGTTTCAAAGGTAACGAAACGAGGAGACAGACTAAAGGGAAAGAAACAGGCAGCTCAGGAAAACATCTGGTATCCCACCCGGCCGGTCGGCGTCACCCCAAACAAAGGTCTTTCCCTTCCTGCGGGTCCCAGCGCGGACCAACAGTCTCACCGCACTGCCTTTGACCCCAAACGTCTCGCACCCCAAGTTCCCACAAACGAGGCAGTTCCGCTCCCCGAGGAGGCAGCTGCTCCGTGGGCGCCGGGAAGGACGCCTAGAACAAAAGGGCAGAAGCGCCTCGAAACGCCCCCTCCACCCCACACCCGCCCCGCTGGATTCCGACAGCGGTGCACGCCCAAAGCCAGGCGCAAGAAACCGCTGACAAACGCGGACCCCCGGCCCCGGATCTCGCGGCTCCACTCCGACTCTAGGAAACCACTTGTTCACAAGTCGCTTCCTAAGGAGCGGCTCGCACCCGCCGCCCAGGGCGCCTTTGTTCCGAGAAGACCCTTCTCCCTCCGGAGCTCGACTTCTGCGGACTCTTCCGTCCCCTGGGCCTCGGAGCCCGCAGACAAAGGAGACGAAGAGCCCGGCAGCGGCCGAAGCGGGGCCGGTCCCACCGCCACTGAGAGAGACGGAGACGCTCCATCTACCCGACGTCCGCGTCAAGTACCTGGAGCGTCAGGAGCCTGCTGACGTGCGCCCGGCCCACGGCCGGGCCAGACCGGACACCTGACCCACCACGTCGTCCGCGGGCCGAGCGCGCCCAGAGTCAGACCCCGCGGGCGTGTGCGGTTCCCTGGGGCGACCCGCCTCCCGGCCCACTTCCGGGCCCACTTCCGAGCCCCCATCCGGCCAGCCGGCGACTTCGCCAGCGCGTGTCACCGCCGTTGTCAAACTTGTCCGGCAGCACCTGGCCCGGCGTCCGCGCTGTGAACGGGGGGCGCCGGGCCGCGGGATCTCGCTGAGGAGTTCCCTCCAATCCGCTCCCCCAACAGGGCGCTCGCCTCAAGGAGCCCCCGCCACCTCGAAGGTCTCGGCGGAGCCGCCCCGGAGGGAGCTTCGAGGGGCCGCGCGCCGGGAGGGCCGGGGGCGGGGCGGGGGCGACGCGGCGGCTGCAGGCGCAGCGACAGTTAAACCCCGTCCCAACGGCCCCGGCCGGCCAACCGCCGTCCGGCGGACGCGGCCTCCACCCGCCCGAGGGTGGCCGCGCAGGGGCCGGCGGAGACTCTGTTCCGCGGACGTTGGAGCCGTTGGGGGGGGGGGGGTCGTTCCAGGAGCCCCCACCCCACCCCCACCCCGTCCCGCGGGGAGCTGCGGGGACCCGGGCCCCCGCCTCCAAGGTCCTCCTGCCAGGCGTCGCCCCCGCCCACTCACCGCCCAGCCCGTGCCGCCGGGCGCCCGCTGCCGCCCCCAGGTCGCCCCGCCACCCCTCCGGGCCGGGCCCGCAGCGCGCGGCGCCCAGGTGAGGCCGCCCGGCCCCGCCACACAAAGGACCCGGCGCCGCCGCCATATTGAAACTTTGCTGCGCGCACAACTCCAGCCGACCGACCGCCCCCCCGCTCGCCGTCCCGCACCCGTGCCGCGCCCGCCCCGCAGCCGCCCGCCCGGCCCCGCCGCCGGCCCGGACGCGCCCGGCCGACACCCGCTCCGGCCCGGCGGCCGCACGCTCGCCTGACTCACCGGCGGCGGTCGCACCTTACAGATGCCCGTCTGCTCGGCAATGGGCCGGATCTTGTGGATGAAGGCAAACGGGTCGGCGAACTCCTCCCAGCTGGGCTCGAACACCGGACACTCAGGCGGCGGCAGGAACTCGCCCAGAGGGCCGGGGCCCCCGAGCGGCGGCGCGGAGCGCGGGCCGGGAGGCGGTGCAGCGACCGGATCCATCGCCGCGGCTCGGGCGGGGACGAGGACGGGGCTCCGGGCTGCAGGCGACGACAGCACCGGGCTCCTCAGCTTTCCTGCGGCGCCTCAACCTTCCTCCTCCTCCTCCTCCTCCTCTTCGGCGGACGGCGACCACGACGTCTGCGCATCCACGCCGTGTGCCTCCGCTTCCGCGGAAGGAAAAGGAGTCCCGCCCCGCCCCCACCCACCGCCCCGGAACCGCGGGCGGGCCTGCGCGCAGCTATCCTGGACCCTGCTGCCGCGCGAGCCGGCCTTCCCCGACCGTTTACTGCGGGCCCCGAGTCCAGCCCTCCGCGAGCCACCTCTCGTGGAGGAGGGGGCCTCGGGTGGCAAATCGCCCGGGGTGTCGCGCGCGGTGGTACGTCTCGCTGGGAAAGTGCACCCCAGGGGACCCGAGGGGCCGGAGGCACCAGTTCCCCGTAGTTACAGCACCGAGACGAGAAAACGGTCATAGGACGTTTATACCCGGCTAACGTGGACCACTCGCATGTCCTAGGCACAGTCCTAAGAGCTTGCGTGATTAATCGTGTAACCTACGCAGCAGCCCGGGCAGGCAGGTCCCCTATTTTTATTGCACAGAGGAGGCCTGTGAGGCACGGGTTGATGGAGCGATTGGCCCCAGTCCACGCAGTTAAGGAATGCAGCCTCTACTGATGGGAGGTGATGGTGTTGCAGAGAAAGGGGTCCACCAGCAATGTGAGGGTGAGACTGAGCGGGAGAAACACTCCTAAAGCTAGGCCGTGGTGCTATTCATTAGGGGGAAGGGAGGCAAATGTAGATGAAGACATGGCGATGACTCGGGGAGTGATAATGAAGCATCATGATGAATCAGGAGCCTGGGATACAGGCCTGAGTGCGGGCGGGTGGGTGGTTGGCATTGCCAGGTATTAGATTTATGAGCAAGAGTCCAAGGGAGGGACGCAAGGTGCTCCCTTCCTGGCGCGTGGACTGGGAGGGCTCTTTGGGACGGTTGGAGAGATCCAGCAGGCTGAAGGAGAGACATCAGACCTGGAAGTGTGAATCTGGGGGTTTCCAACATGTATTTGTATTTAGAATAAATAGCTTTTTTGTCTGATGCTCACTGTGGAAGAAATGCTTTGCTTATGTTAATGTATTAGCTCATCGAACAACCCTCTTGTTGGGCAGGAACTGCCGTTGTGCCAGTTTTGCAGAACAGGCCATGAGGCACAAAGAGGTTAAGTAACTTTAAGACATCTGAACCCTTTTAGACAGTTTTGGGGGGGAAGAGAGGGGCATGTAGTGTCCTGCCCCAGAAAAGGGGAGCGAGGAAATTCAGAAGGTAGGACTTCATACTGAAAAGACTTCTTTTACCCAGGAAGCAGCCAAAGCCCTGGAAGGACTGGTTGCAAGCTAGCTCTGCTGTTCCTCACGGATGCTTCTGTTAGTGGGAGAGGGCTCATCAATAACCTTCCCAGAAGTCCTTGGCCCTTCAAGAGTTCAGAGGGTCCTTGGAGAAGGCAGCCCTTTCCTTAGCTCTCCGAGCCCACTGCCATGGCGACTGAAGCCAAGGGACGACCAACAGTCCCCAGTGTAGGGCAGAAGATGTGAGGCACAGCGAGGTGTTGTGAAGTGAGAGTGTGGGATCTGGGGGGTGCAGTGGGCACAGAAGAGTGGGCTGCAAAAACTTTCCACTTTGCTGAGTAGCTGACCCTTTTCCTTAACAAAACGTAGAGCAGAAAAACCATCCTGCAGCCCTAGGTCGCAGGCGGGCTGTGCTGTTGAGGGTCTTGCTGGAGCCGAGTTCCCGACCTAAGAGCCTAGCCCGCACTTCACACCGGCGTCCTCCGAGCCAGGCAGGCCTGGCCTGCAGGGAAGTTTTGGGCGCACACGGATCAGGAGTGTTCCCTAACTGGGGTGCCACGGACACTCCTCGGAACACCTCCCCAGCGCCGGATGGCCTGTGTTTCCGGCGGTGTCCGTAATCGAAAAGACTGAAGCTCCCAGGTGAAGCAGCACTGGTGACGTAGAGGGGGCGGTCCCCGACGCCGGGAGCGGATCCCGCGGGGACTGCTCTGGGAGGCGACGCCTCCGCCCTTTATGATGCATGTTTACATGGCGGAGGGATCTACCAGCTGACACCGCCGAGCCGGGTCTTCTTTTTTTAAAGAGCCCGGCCGCGGGCGCGGATTGGCCGCACGGCCTCGGGGGCGGGGCCCGACCGCATTGTCTGGTCCCGGCCGCGGGATACCCCGGAGGCCGGACCCGCCACCCTAGCCTGCTGGTCCCGGGCTAGGGGTCCCGGACCGCTGGGCGTGAGGCCTGGACCGGGTCGGGTTCGGGCTCCTGGCGGAAAGCAGGGCTGGAACCCGGACGGCCTGGGAGAAACCAGCCCCTCTCTGAGTGCCACGTCTCCAAGAGCCCCTCCTTACTCCTGACACCCCGCCCCACCGTCCCCTAACCGCCCCATCAGCGCAGCCAGGATCCTCTGGACACACTCCTAGGGGTCTTAATCCTCATCCGGCCCGCTGGGCCCCAGCCTTCCCAACCCACCCCCCGCCTGCGCCCCCAGGTCCGCCCCCCTGTGAGGGACGCTGTCTGAGTGCCTTTCGGTCGCTGAGGTTTCCAGGCTTCGGGGTGCGACTTCCGCCCCGGCCCACCGCTAGGGACGAGGCTCCGGGATAGAGGGTGGCTTGCTCCGCTCGCAGTCCCCGCGCTCCGCTGGAATTGCGCTCGGGGATGGATGGGGGCGGGCCCGGCTTCCAACTGCCGGAGAGGGGGAGGAGTTGCTCGCACAGCACGTAGCGCACGTGTAGGGCCTCCCCCTCCCCCCGCACACGTTCCCCTGCGGCCTCCTGCTGCTTTCCTGGGCTCCCATCTGCCCGGACCTCCGGTCTGCGCCTTCCTGGTGCTGCGGACCTCTGACACCATGTCCCCACCCAGCCCGGTGGAAACTGCTGGTTCTCTCCTTCTCCTTACTCTGCCCAGTGCTCAGGCCTCCCATCAGCCTCAGTCCATCCCAGTTCAATGCCATCATCTCGCTCCCCTCCACCACCACCACCGCTCCCCCCCCTCCCGCTCTGGTGCCCCACGATGTCTGGTGTCATGCCCACCGTGGAGATCCCCAGACCTTGCGATCTCACGAGGAGCCGCAGCCTTTTTGGCCTCCCTGCTTCGTCTGTTGTGCCCTGCCGTGACTTCTCGATATTTGTGTTCTTTCCCTGTCCCTTCCCTGCACACGCCCGCCGGACCAGATTTAAGCTGCTGGAGGGAAGGAGTAGTGGGCTCTAACCCTGGCACCAGGCACGGAGTAGAAGCTCCACAAATATTTGTTGAGGGGGAGAGGAGTGGCCTTGAGTGTCTGTGGCTCCCACTGGCTGAGAATGTAGTCTGGGGCCGGACAGGAGAAGAATCTGGTTCCACAGCGAAGTGGAAGAGATCACACAGCAGATCAACACGTGGGAATGGGGGCACCAGCAGTGGGAGGAACCATCCTCCCCCATTGCCCTCCCCTGCTCATGACCCTGAGACCAGCTACCCCTTCTCGTCTGCAGAACTGGTCTCCTGTGTCGGGCTTCTGTGCACTGGGCTCTGCCCCACCCCAGCCGCTGGGGCTGCCCTGCAGATCGGCTCACATGGTGACAAAGGCTCTTGTTTCTGGGCTTCTGTCCCTGGGAAGCTGGGTCTGGATCCAGGGAAGTCACTTGGTAACTAAGTTCATTTCCTCCTTCCCCTTCCTCCTCTTCTCCAGTCCGGGGACCCCTTCTCTGCTGACTCAGCCCAAGGGGATCCAGGATTTGGGGCCTCAGTGGGCCTGGGTGTGGGCCACCCCTCCCCAGGGAGCCTTCAACAGATACCAGGTGGGTGGTTCGGTGCTCCCGCCCTGCCCAGAGGGTAGGGAGGGGCAGATTACCCCCACCAGGGCCTCCGGTGCTGCCTCCTATTCAGGTTGGGCCACTTTGCAGGTCCCAACCTTGAGCAGCTGAGAGGCGGAGTGAAACTCTTGTTCCCTGATCATCCTGCAGCTGCCACCAGCGCCCCCATGAGGCCTCTGGACTGAGGGGCCCCACTCTGCATGCTCCCTGGCCTTGGACAGTTGGAAAGGTTGGAATCCTCCGTGTGGAGGATCAAAGTCTTCCCTACACAAATGATACCGTAACTTCACACAGCTCTAGGAGTGTACCAAGCTCTCTTGAAGTCCACAGTGTTCACACAAACTATGTTGCACCCCCTGTTCGATACATGAAAACCTAAATGCTGATTCCCTTTCTTCTCTCCCCTGTCAGGGAGCAGCCGGAAATGCTGTGCAATCCGGAATAAAAACAGGGCTGGTGAAGGCCCTGGCTGGTATAGCTCAGTGGATTGAGCACGGGCCTGAGAAACAAACAACCACAGTTCGATTCCCAATCAGGGCACATGGCTGGGTTGCAGGCCAGTTCCCAGCAGGGGACGCATGATAAGCAACCATACATTGATATTTCTCTCCCTCTTTCCTTCCTTTCTCCTCTAAATATAAAAATCTCAAAAAAAAAAAAAAACACCCCACACACGCACACAAAAGGGCTGGTGAAGTAGGCGGATTTGTCATCCTTTTTTCAGATGGAGAAACTGAGGCTTAGAAAGGTTAACCAGCCAAAGTGACACAGATCAGCACAGAGCTGAAACTAGAATGGTGAGCCTAGAGCCTCTGGTCACATGACCCCAAATACCAAGCGACTTCCCTAACACTGAGGAGATGGGACACCACAGAAACCCAGTCCCGGACGTCATCACCGTTTGCCCCTTAACCTGTTCACGGGTGTCCACTCTCCACCGTGGGTTCACACTTGTTTGACTGACTTCTAGTACCAACAGTTTTACAAGACAGCACTTGCCCCTAGCGATGCCGGTTGATACCCACGAAGCTGAGTTTGTAACCTATAAACACTTTGTGACCTTCAATTGGAAAAAAGTTGCTCCGAGGCCAGCTCTTCCTGCCATTGGGCAGCTTTCAAGATCCAGCTGGGGCGTCAGTTTTCCCTACTCCGTACCCTTCTGCTCTGCACTGTGGCCACACCCGTCTCCTGGAAGTCCTCCAGAACCCAGTCTAATCCTGCACAAAACCCGTCAGAGTCTCTTATCTCTTCAGTTTGTTTTCCACTGTTTATTCATCGCTTGTCTGCATTCTTCTGTCCACCTTCCTCCTACCTCCGCCCACTGCTGTCCCACCCCAGGGGTCCCTCTGGGCCCCATCTTTTGAACTCCTCATCCCCTGGAGGTGCCACAGGAGACCGGGATCCAGCACAGTCTCCCAGAACCGGGCTCAGAGCAGGGGTCAAAGACTCAGATGCCCGAAGGGCGCAGACTTCAGTGACTGAAGTCAGCCAAAGGGTGTGTCCAGCCCCTGGGGCTATCACTGAGCAGGCCAGGGTGGCTGAGAGCTGCCATTTTTCAAGAGAAGCCAAGGTTGAGGTTTTCGTACGATCTCCCGTAATTTTAAAGGCTTTGTTTATTTATTTTTAGAGTGGAAGGAAGGGAGAGAAACAGCAATGAGTGGGTACCTCTCTCACGCCCCCAGCTGGGAACCTGACTGGGAATCAAACTGGCGTCCCAGAATGGCACTCAGTCCACCGAGCCACACCAGCCAAGGCTCTCCTAATTTTTAAATGTTTGATCTTCAGTTGATTTTTTTAAAAAACTGTGTGTGGGCCAAACAAACATGCTTGTGGCCAAACTGTGTTCCGTGCAGAGATACGTCCCTGGAGAGTTTGGCGGGGTGATGACCTTGCCACCTTCTGAAGGGTCGTGGTTAGCAAAGAGGCGGTAGCAGAGATGTCTCTTTGGAACAGTGCTGGTGTAGGGGGGTGAGCTCCTGCCCCACCCCCTCCCCGGGGCTCAAAGGACAATTGGGACTTCCAGCAACATCTGGAGCCCGCAGCCAGGGTAGCACAGAGTCACAGGGGGAGGCGGGCTCAGACCTTCCCACACGCCCTCCTCTGCTTTTTGTGTCCTCTAAAGCCCTCAGATGAGTGGGAATCCAATGCTAAGATTCAGAAATTTACCGAAAGTGCTGAACGTCTGTGTAAGAATCCAAAAGTAAAAATTTGGGCGGGAGCTCAGGAATAAAGGGAAATGGACCCCTCAACGTGAGGGAGGAACTGGGGTTCAAAGAGGCCACGTGGTCAGTCAGCTCAGCAGAATCTGACTCTGGCCCAGCCTGGCTGAGTCCACAGTCCAAACCACGAGCCAGCAACCCCTTCTCTGCAGGCTGACGGGTCCTCCCCACTGCTCCTGCACCTCGAGGAAGAGATGGTGCCCTTACGATTCCTGGGGTGAGCTAACAACACTGGCTGAGCACACCCTCCGGGCCAGGAACCCTGCACCAAGCTGTGGATGCAGCACTGAACCAAAGCCCTGCCCCTCAGGGGCTTACATTCCGGTCCAGTGGGTCGGAACACACCATCCGCACGTACATGCAGGATAGAAACAGACACTGAGGAAGACAGCATGGCTGCCAGACCACGGGGGGGGGGGGGGGGCCGGGGAGACTGCGAGAGGTGCGCTGACGTAGAAAAGGGGCTGCAGAGCTCAGGCTGAGGCTTGGAGGGAGGCGGCGACTGGAAAGTCTACAGGAGAAAATTCTAAAAGAGTCATTGTGTGCAAAGACCTGAGCCCAGAAACAGCTTGCTCCATCCAAGGGGTGACCCCTCCCCCAAAAGCCAGGGTGGGAGGGGGGTCAAGTCAGAGGTAGACAGGACTACTCCAGAAAGGACCTCCTCAGACACGGTCAGGAATCGGGATTTTTCCTGCTTGCAAAAAGGAAAGCCATCAGAAACTCGTAGGTAGAAGGGACACCATCTGACTCACAATTTTAAAAGGTCTCTGACTGCCCCGTGGAGATGGACTGCAGGCTAACAAGGGGGGGAGGGGAGGGGCCATTAGAATGGTGGTGGGGGGGGAGCAGTGCACTGGTCCAGGCAGGAGGTGATGGCCCCGGGGACCACGCCGTCACAGTGAGACCGTGAGGGAAGGCCCCCCTTGGATGCATTTGGAGGAAAAGGTAACAGGACCAAGTAGACTGGAGTGTGGAGGGAAAGAGACGTCAGGGGCAGGCTTCTGGGCTGGGGAACCAGCCGGCGGCAGCACTCTTTCCTGAGGTGGGGGAGTATGAGAGGAAGAGACTTGGAGGCGGAAGCCGTCCTTCCACTTTCTCTCTGTTAAGGTTGAGTCCCCCTGGCTCATCTGAGAGCAGATGTCGAGCAGCCTAGTCGAGGAACCCAGATCTCAGGCTCGGGTCAGGGCTGGAGATGGGTCAGCTGGGAGCCAGCAGTCTGTGCACCGGGCGAGCACCTAGACAAACCCACACACTGCCCGGTACAGAAGCCCTTAAGGCTGCAGGACTGGGTGAGGGCTCCCCGGGAGGGTGTGGAGGAGGAAGCGAGCCCGCCAGGGAAGGACGGCCTGTGTGGCAGGTGATGGCTGTCGGGCAGGAAAGGGCTCCAAGGAGGCAGAAGTCGGCCGCGTGAAAGGTGCAGAGAGGCCAGTGAGAGGAGGAGAGGGAATGTACGCGAACAGGGACTCACTAACTAAGACACCTCTCCAAGGAGTTCTGCTGGGTTAGGGTCGCAGAGGAATGGGGCGAAATCGGAGAGAGCCTGAATTGGAGGAGGGATGAGCACTGCAAGAGGAGAAGAGGTTCCCTGCCTGCGGGGAAGAATAAGAAGGTGGGGAGTGCGAGCTGGGCTCCACTCCGCGGCTGCCAGCTGGCTCTCATCTCTCTGCCCTGAAGATACTGGGGCTGCTCCTCCGGCCGCATCACAGTGAGCGACTGAGCCGTCGCCCTGGGCAGGGCCTGCCCGGGCGCACCTCTGACGACAGGCAGGTGGGGAGCTCACAAAAGTCACATCACATCACAGAGGCAGCTCAGCTCACGGGCGGAGACCTGGGAGGCCCCGGTGTGCTTTTCTGGGCCTCCCAGCCCTGCGGCCCTGCACAGGGACCGGTCCTCAGCACCCACTCCTGGGTCTGTCTGCCTCTAGCCCCCTCCAGAAGTGGTGCAGTCTGAGGGCTGAGAGGCAGCGGGCTCCCAGAGGGACTGGGGAAGGAGGCGGAGGGGCACAGAGCCGCAGACTTGCTGGAGAGCCTTTTCGCTCAGCGTCTGTATCCACGCATTTCTGGAGCAGAGAAGCCAATTTGTTCCACGTGCAGGGGTTTGTGTCTGAGTCACCTCTGACCAAAAGTCCCGGGGTAAGGAAACCAGGTAAGAAAAGTTTAATCTGTGAAATCCTGCTACCAACATAAGGATTATTGGTATAACTCCCACCGAAAAGCTAAACGGTTAAGGGAGGGAAGCCTGTTAACCTCCACCAAAATGCTCAACTGGTAGTCACCAATGATAATGAGGAGATTGGCCCTCGCTGGTGTGGCTCAGTGGACTGAGCACTGGCCTGTGAACCAAAGGGTCGCCAGTTTGATTCCTAGTCAGGCCACATGACTGGGTTGCAGACTAGGTCCCTAGTAGGGGGCACATGAGAGGCAACCACACATTGAAGTTTCTCTCCTTCTCCCTCCCTTCCCCTCTCTCTAAAAATAAATAAATAAAATCTACAAAGAAGGGAAGGGAGGGAGGAAGAAAGACAATGGAGAGATCAGAGAACGTCACAGCCCCGGGAACAGAGAGATTCCTGCCTGGGATTTCCTCCATGTCCTGGGGTAAGAATCGAGAGCTGGCGACAAGCAAATGAAAGGCTTTCCTCTGCTCACTCAGAAACAGCGGGAACACAGAGGGAAAGGCCCCCCCCCCCCCCCGCGGGCCTTTGAGGCTTAGTGAGCCTGCAGTCCCACAGCCCCACCCTCCAGGAAAAGACTTTTTTACTCAGCGTGGAATCACGTCCTAATCAAGGTCTGTGAATAACATTAAAAATTGGAATAAATGAACGATACCATTCATTAAAAAGCCACCCAATTCCTTAGCACTTAGCAACCCTTCGAGTTCTTCTATTTTAACAGTTCCACTTTTGTTTGCAAAAGCGGGCTGGGTGGAGACCATCTGTTCTCCGAGATAAGTGGCCGCGTCCCTGAGCCCCGGGCGGCACCCCGTTTGGGGAAGGAGGCGTCGTGGGAAAGTGCAGTCTCCCCACGGAGCCATCGAGAGTATCAGCGGAGGGACGGGGCAGCTCCTCCTGGGGTGAGAAGAGCTCTGTGCCATCCTGTCAGGTGCCCCCCACCCAGCCCACCCGCCCTGAGGGGAACAGTGACACAGAGGAGAGTAGGCTGGGGGGACGGGTTGGGGGAAGGCTTCCGGGGGACACGGGAAGTGGAGACGTGCACCAGGTGGGGGCGGCCTTCAGCCTCAGGCCGCTTTCTGCTGCAGGAGCCATGTCCAGCCCAGGCAGCATGCGGTGCTCCATCAGGCACGGCCTCCTCACCTTGGTGGCCCTCGGGCTCCTGTGGCTCTTCATCACTTTGAAAGTCTCCAGAGAAATTGAAGATGATCCCGTGATGTCTATCAAAGGCCAAGTAGCAACCGTTGCTCTCCGCGTGGGGACTGAGCCCTAGGGTGGGCAGGGTGTGGACAGGCAGCCCCTCAGCCGTGCCTGCCCCGTTCACCTGAGAGCAGAAAGCTCCAGAGGGAGTGGGGTGGACCTGGACCCGCTGGTCCACGAAGAAGTTGCATCCTTCCCCGTATGTATTAAGGTGAGAGAGAGACACGCACGGCTTGAGCTCTGGGTCCTTTGGCCAGTGGTCAGACGTCCCAAGAATGTGCTCACCCGTGGAGAGTGATCCACTTCCCCTCTTTCCCTGGAGAAGTTTCTGGAAGCTCCTAGGGCTAAACCTTGTTCTTGTCCTGAAAGGGAAGGCATGTTTTGCTTTGTCAATGCCTCAGGACAGTGGCGGCAGAAGGAAGGACCCAAGACCACGAGAAGACTGGCAGAATCTCACCTTCCAATACATGAAAAAAGTCCAGCAGCGAAGAAAGAGTAAGTTCCAAGGACGGAAATGGGGTCCCCAGGGGAGGCGGGGGCCTCCCCCGAAGTAAGGTAGCGAGGAAGGAGAGAAGGAAGGGGAGAAGGAAAGGCGGGGCTGTGTGGGGAATGGCTGGACCTGGCCGACAGTCCTCTCCCCACTAGGACGCTTAAGTCACTTGCTGGAGGGAATGCAGAGCCACTGGACTTGAGAACCCTGGGCCCAGAACCGTGCCTGTGTCTCAGGGTCCACCGCCCTCCGTGTCCTGGGTTGGGAACTAAGCTCAAGGCTGGAGGGACCTGCTGGAGGCCACACACTCAGTGGCAGGAACGGGCCGAGGAGAACCTTGGGCTCCAGACTTGGAGAGCAAGTGCTCTCCCCGAGATATCTTCTTCCAGGGAGAGCTCTGCGGGAGAGCTGGCCAAACACAGACAGTCGGTGCTGCCTGAGCACTTGAGTGCGTGCCAGACAAGTCCGGCTCCAGGCAGACTCAGAGGGACCCCTGGGGACTGGGCATCGCAAAACTTAGTCCTTTTGCAAGTGAAGCACACACAGGAAGCCCCTGGTGACGCTGTGGAAATGCAGGTCCTGTTCCGGGCAGTTTGAGGCAGGGGCCCCGACTCTGTATTTCTCGTGAATGTCCTGACTGCATTGCTGGAATAAGGCCCCCACTTCGACGAGCAAGGAGCTAGACATCCCCGCACCAGAACACAGAATCAGCCCTGGCTGGTGTGGTTCAGTAGATTGAGTGCTGGACTGCGAACCAAGGGGTCGCTGGTTCAGTCCCCGGTCAGGGCACACGCCTGGGATGCAGGCCAGGTCCCCAGTGGGGGAGCGTGAGAAGCAACCACACATCGATGTTTCTCTCCCTCTCTTTCTCCCTCCCCTCCTGTCTCTAAAATATACATAAGATAAATCTTAAGACAGAGTCAATGGAGAAAATAGATGGACAAGAGAGGAAGAGAGAAGGCCCCAAAGAGCGCCCCAACCCGTGACCCCCCCAGCACCTTCCCCACCACCCGCCCTCACCACGGTGCCCATTCTGCCTCCCCCCAGGATGGCTGACGGTGGGCATCTCCTCGGTGCCAGGCCCGGGTCGGAGCGGCCTCCTGCACACACTGGTCTCCCTGTTCCGAGCCTCCTCCAGGGCGGAGCAGAGGCGTCTCACGGTGCTGGTCCACCTGGCCGACTCTGACCCTGCCCGGCTCAGAAAAACCACTGCCCAGATTTCAACCCTCTTCAGCCCGCAAATCCTGGCAGGGCAGCTGGTGCTGATCCACGCTCCGCCGGATGCCTACCCTGTGGGTGACCCTGAGGACCAGGCCTACCGGGGGGACACCTGCTCCAAGCAGAACGTGGACCATGCCTTCCTCGTGAGCTTTGCTGCAGGGCTCTCTGACTACTTCCTGTTGCTGGAGGACGATGCCTTCTGCGCCCCCAACTTCATCACCCACATCCGCCGGAGACTGGGCAGCATGAGCAGGACCCCGTGGGTGCTGATGGAGCTCTCGAACCTGGGCTTGCTGGGCAAGCTCCTGCACGGCAGGGACCTCCCGCTGCTGGCCCACTTCCTCCTCCTCTTCCACAAGGAGAAGCCCCTGGACCAGCTGCTCCCGCATTTCCGCAGCCTCCTGGCCCAGAAACACGCCGTCCTCAGCAGGCCTTTCCTCTTCTACCGCCGGGGCTCCCACTACGGCGCCGGCAACAGCCACGTGGCTGGAGCCCTGAGGAACAGGGCCCCCCGCGGCCCCCACAATCCTCCCGGAGCCGTGTTCACGGACATGAAGGTCCTGGGGGTTCATTTCCCCTGGCAGGCCTATACTCTGGATGAGTCTTTCTTCTGGACCCACAACGTCAGCGCAGGGAGCCACCTGACAGTCATCCTGAACCACCCAGCCAGCCTGCGGCGGGTGCAGGTGCTGACGGGCACCGTGGTGGACGGAAAGCACGCCCTGCAGAAGGGGCGGGTGGAGCTGGGCTATGAGCCGGAGGGAACGCCGCAGTTCTGCACCAGCTTTGCTGTGCTGGGCCCCCTCCTGGAGGGGCAGCTGGATCAGGAGATCGTCCCACGGAGCGTGGGGCACGATGTGAGCTGCGTGAGGCTGGTGGTGAACGCCCGTCAGGCTGGTGGGCTCATCATCAGACACATTTACCTCTGGGAGGAACGAGCCGAAGGTAGGACGGAGGCTCACAGTTGGAGATAAATCAGTGAGGGTCCGAAAAATTAAAGCCTGGGAGTCACTCCATTCCGGCCTGTCCAGGTGACCAGACTCGGGAAAGGGGCAGAGGGAGAAGGCTCAGTCACGATTTGGGTGCCACGGAGATGGCAGGAGGCCTGTCCCTCCCCTTCTGTGCCCAAACAAGTGACTCGAGCAGCACCTTTCCGGGCGGCGCGTTCAGCTTAGCCCGGTTTGGGGGACGGTCTTGGTCACGAAGGCAGGTGTTGTGTGTGCAGGTGCACATTCCAGAGTTCACACACAGTCAGGGGGCATGAGGGGTCACTGGGCAGCAAGGGTGAATGGGCAGACCGTGGGGGGGTCCCTAGAGTGGACACCACGAGAGGCCAAGAAAGGGACTCCCGTTCGTTGCACACCGATGTTCAGGGGCGTAGTGGAGGGACTGATGGCCTTAAACGAACTCCTTAAGTGAACCGTCCATTTTCGGCCTTTCCTGGGCAGCTTGGACGTGAATGGTTTGCAGCTAAAACTTCACTTTCTCATCTCGGTTCACTCCTTGGCCCCCCACCGGCTTCCACATCCTCTGAGTCCTGAAACGCTTCCCGACCTGTAAGAACTGATGCTCAGAGGCAATCTTCCCACTTTGTTCTTTTTATTTTACTTTTAAAAATATTTTATTTATTTTTTTAAGATTTTACTTCTTTATCCTTAGAGGGTTAGGGAGGGAGAGAGGGAGAGAAATATCAATGTATGGTTGCCTCTCGTGCGCCCCCTGCTGGGAACTGGCCTGCAACCCAGGCATGTGCCCTGACTGGGCATCAAGCTGCAATCCATTGGTTCACAGGCCCACACTCAATCCACTGAGCTACACCAGCCAGTGCTATTTATTTTAGACAGAGGGGAAGGGAGAAAGAGAAACATCAATGTGTGGTTGCCTCTTGTACGCTCCCTACTGGGGATCTGACCCGGCCCACAACCCAAGCATGTGCCCTGACTGGGAATGGAACCAGCGATGTTTTGGTTCACAGGCTGGCACTCAAGCCACTGAGCCACTCCAGCCAGGGCCAAAAATTGAGTTTTATAGTGTGTGAATTATGTCTGCATAAAGCAGCTATTATTTAAAAAGCCGTATGAGCAAGTCAGAGGGCTTATTAGACTCTGCTGATGGCCACAGGGAGGACCTGAGGGTTTGGAACAGGAAAGAGAAGGGCTGGAGCCATGGCTGCTTCACTGTCACCTCCACTCACCACACCTGAAACAAAATCTTTCCCTTGCCCCCGAAGCTGTCCCCTCCCAACCTGTCTGTCCCTGGCAGCAGTGGCCCTCTGCATGGGAACTCAAAGTCTTGAAACGGTGCTTTCAAAGGAGTGGTCCGTGAAGCATTTGCATGGCATCACTTTGAACTGCTTCTTAAAAATGCTTTTACCAGGTCTTGCTCATTCTCCAATTAAAGTGCTCCAACCCCTGTGATCTCCTATTTTCATATCCACCCTGTCCAGGCCTGTCCCGGAGGCTCACACCCATACCTCTCCACAGGCGTCCAGCGCCAGCCTGGGAGAGCGCTGGCCACCATGAGTGCGACCAAAGAAAAAAGGAGAGAGGAGAGTTCCCAGGACGTGTGTGAGTGCAGCTCCCTGGCCTCAGCCACCTTGTCTGCGAAGCCGGCTCAGCTGCCTCTTGGGTTTGTCTACTGCACAGTGAGCTCGATGCACTGCCCAAACTCGGAAGATGTTGGACGAGTGAGGGAATGACCCCTAGCTTTTAGTTCACAGAGCTCATAGGAATCCATGTCTGATTCAGTCTTCGCACAGACACTGGGGGGACAACCCCCATTTTACATCCTGAGAAGTGGGTGTGAAGGGCAGAGACTGTTTGCCTGGGACCTGCAGTGGCCCCACGGGATCCCTGCACCCTGGACCCCGTCTTACCCATGCGGCCCAAAGGCGGGTGTGGAGAGGCTTCTGAGATAATCTCAGGAAAGTCACTGCCAAGCTGCCGGCAAGGCCTGGTCCACAGCCCACAGACACCTGCGCCCCACCTGCACCCTGGCCAGTGCCAGCCTGCCCTTTCCTGATCTGGCTTCTGCAGGGGAGGGGCTGCGGGACTCTGGTGCCGTGCTCCAGGAAGTGGTGGGAGGGGGTGGCTGTCCCCAAGCTGACTGGCCATGACCTTGCTGAAGCCACTGCCTGGACTCAGGAGGGGCCCCGGGCAGCCAGCTCCCCGTCTAAGGTGCTGAGTGAGGCCTGCTCCCGGGAGCCCAGGTGTAAGGAAGGTCCCCTCACGGGGTGGCCCCTGACGGGTGGCCTGCAGCTGCCTCGGCTGTGGGCTGAGCCCGTCGGCCGTCGGTAAGGCAGAAAAGCCCTCCAGTTTCCTGAGCATCAGGGAGTCTCCGCACCCACCTCACCCCGGCCATGGCCACCCCACCCTGCCCGGCAGGAGGTGCCCTGTGGCCGCCCTGTCCTGGTCGGGGGCCGTGTCCGCCGCTGTCCAAAACGGCTGTCACCCCTGGGGAAGCCCCACGGGCGAGACCCCCCTTCAAAGTCCATAATCAAACTTTGTTTAAAGCCCCGATGTCGGGTTTACTTGTATCCCTCAAGCTCAGATTGCACGACATGGGCACAGGGCCCATCCCCCAGGGACTTGAGGGACTGACGGTCCAGGACAAGACACCTCGACTCACTCAGAGGCCACACGGACAGCCGGACATCGGGCCAAGGCAGAGCACAGGGCATGGACCATGGAGCACAGAGTTCCCAGAACACGGAAGTTTTCCTCTCCTGCTGAGAGTGTGTGTATGTTCAGTGCGTGGGGGTCCGGGCCCCAAGTTAAGAGCCTTTTGAATTTACACGAACGTTTTTAGAATTCTTCAGTGAAACCCTCTGGGCCTGGGGATTTCTTGGGAGGAGTTTTTAAACTATGAATGTGATTTTTAAAATTCTAGGGTTATTAAAATTATCCCCTTCAAATTGGGTGTTATGTATTAATACTTTGTATTTGTTGAGTTCCTCTCTCTCTGCCAGTTTCTCCCTTGTCATTCTGTGGGCAGTTGTTGGGGGTGGTTCAGTCTCCCACCCGGCTTCTGGAATGTCTGTTTTCTTCCGTTCAACCAGGTTTTGCTTCCTGTACTTTGCAGTCTGTCTGTGTGGTGGGCATACAGTTGGGGTCGTGTTCTCTCGGTGGACCGATCCCTTATCAAAACATAACACCCCTTTCTGCCTCTGGTCATGGTCTTGCTCTGCAGTCGACTTTATCTGAAACAAATGTAGTCATTCCTACTTTCCTTTCCTTAATTTCCCCTGGTAATTCTTTTCCCTCCTTTTGCATTTAACTACCTATGTGGTTATATTGAATCGGCCCCACAATTCAGTTGGCCAGAAAGTCTGTTCACTTGGCTGAGAAAATCCTTCAGACATGAAATTTGTTTGGCCAGAAAATTTGTTGCATCCACCAAAAAGTTTGTTTGGTGGCCAGAAAGTTTGTTGTTGGCCAAAAAGTCCGTTCAATGAAATTTGAACTTGAAATTTCGGTCGATTGACCAATATTTCGTTCATCTGGCAAAAAAGGTCAGCCAAAAAAGTCCATTGGCCTTGTCCATGAGCTGGCTCTATTAGTGCTTGTTGTCTTTAACTTCATTTGAAACCATTTTGATAGGTTGTATTGTGACAACTGTTACATCAGCATGAAGTTTCAAAAAAATTATCAAAAGTAGTACATTTTTGTGTAGCTGTTCTAATATTAATAGAAGAAAATAAGCAACATTTTTGAGAAAGGTAAAAATGTAAAAATAAAGATTGGTGCTCTGTGTGGAGGAGCTGTGACTGATCGAATGTGTCAAGAGTGGTTTGTGAAGTTCTGTCCTAGAGATTTCTCGCTGGACGATGCTCCTTGGTTGGGTGGACCAGTTGAAGTTGAGAGGAACTCGTGGGAAATTAACACATATATTGAACTGAAGAAAAGTGAAAATATGACCCATCAGACTCTGTGGGGTGCAGCTAAGTCAGTGCTGACAGGCAAATTCACAGCGCTAAATGTTCCCACTGGAAAAGAAGGAAGACATGGCTCACTGATCTGCCCACTGATCGCAACACTTGAGAGAAAGAAGAGCAAAGTAATCGCTACCCAAACAGAAGCAAGGAAATAGTAAAGATAAGAGCTGAAATCAGGGAAAATGAAAATGAAGAGAACCAATTTAACAAAGAGCTAATTTTTTATTTTATTTTTTTAAAGATTTTACTTATTTTTAGAGAGGGGAAGGGAGGGAGAAAGAGTGGGAGAGAAACATCAAGGTGTGGTTGCCTCACGCGCCCTGTACTGGGACCTGGTCTGCAACCCAGGTATGTGCCCTGACTGGGAATCGAATTGACAACCCTTTGGTTCATGGGCCAGCACTCAAATCCACTGAGCCACACCAGCCACAGCAAGAGCTAATTTTTCAAAAAAGACTTTATCTTTAGAGGGGAAGGGAAGGAGAGAGGGAGAGAAATATCATTGTATGGTTGCCTGTTGTGTGTCCCCTGCTGGAACTGGCCTGCAACCCAGGCATGTGCCCTGACTGGGAATCGATCCTTGATCCTCTGGTTCACAGGCCCGCGCTCAATCCACTGAGCTATGCCAGCCAGGGCAAGAGCTAGTTTTTTAAATGACCAATAGGACTGACCAGCCTCTAGCAAGACAGTAAGAGAAACTGTGGATTATCCATCTCAGGACTGAAACCGAGGGTGTCCCTGCAGACCCTGACAACGTCAGAGGAGGGGGAAAGCCAGGGACAACGTGACACAAATACACTGGACAGTTAGAACGGACCAAGGACTCCAGAAACGCCAGCCCACCCGTCGCAATGTTTCAAACATGGAACATTTTCGTTACATTTAAGTAGAGAATCGCATGCAGAAATACAGCCAAGAAGGTCTTTTTCCGCTTACATGGAACCCAAAGAGGAAAGGACGACACGCTGGTGTCAGACGGAGCTGGGCTTTGAGGAACGAAGACAGTGCAGGGGGAGGGTCTCGCCTTCTCTGGGGGTCTCACCAGGGGAGCAGTGCTGAGAACAGGTGTGGCCGCACCCTGGGCTACTTCCCTTCTCAGAGTAGGAGGCATGTATATATACACCTTCTTGTCTAAGAGGCCCATGAGGAACCTCTTATTTCAGGTGTTCTAGAGCCAGACTCAAGGTCCCTGACCTCCAGAATCCTGGCCCCGGGGCTGGGGCACCAGCCTCTACTGCCCTCTGCTGGCCGCCAGTAGGGAGGACAGGCAAAGTGCTGCTTCATGATGTTGACCAGGACTCCGGGTTATTCCTGCAGGTACAGCTTCCTCGGCTTGCACCAGAACCTCTACCGGACTCACACCCCCGTGACTGGGTGAAGGTCAGGGCTGCATGGGGTCCCCCACAGATATGAGTGCACTGAGCTGGGGTCCTGAGCCCCTGAGTACTGGGGCCGGCCCCCGACATCCCATGGCTGGACTCAGGAGACACAGGCTGGGGAGGGAGAAGGCCCACAGCCCCACGCAGGGTGTGGGTGTACTCCCAGGGCGTCAGGGAGACTGGAATGGGAGACAGGCAGAGCAGGGCTCAGGCTGCCTCTGCGTTTTCCCATTATTCTCCCCAAGGACGTTCAGGGATCTTGTGTCCACTGCTCAGCACCTTTATTTCTCTAAGTCAGACTGAAAACACAGAATACTTCCGGCTGCCAGCAACAATGTTTGGAAGTTCTCAAAAAAGATACAAATAATCAGAAAGTATATAAAATTTCATTAGAAATAACAAATGCAAATCGAAGCAAGGAGACACCATTTGTTTTCCCTATTAAAGTGGCAAATGTTCTTTAACCACGACACCCAGGGCAGGGAAAGCTCAGAGCAGCGAGTGCTCTGAGGCGGGAGGCTGTTTCTAAGGGGCGTGGACACACGTACCCCCTGCACCCCAACTCCTAGTGACGGACCACGAGGACAGGCCACAGCTGCACGCCACGGCCACTGCTTCTAAGGACCCGGGGGTGGCAGCAGTTGGACTGTTCACATGTGCAGAGGAACACAGCAGAACACTGACGCCACGGACAGGAGTGCTGTATGAGGACAGCACGGGCCCGTATTTGCTTCACAAAACCACGTGTACACACATGTAGAAGAGCGTTAAAGACTTATACCACATTACTATTGGCAACCTCTGGATGGTGCAAATATGAGGGATTAAAAATGTTTATATCCATTTTTGTATTTACCTGCAACAAATGTGTACTACTTCCCATGTAAGAAGCCAAAGCCTTGTTTTAGGAGAGTCTGGCCTGGGTCTGGCTGTGCCCAGATGGGCCCGTCACCCCCGGAGGCATCTGCGTGGCTTTGTGCCTTCCGACCCGAGTGGACAGTTTCCACAGCTGTTCTGCAGATGCCAAGTCTTAGCCACAGGGCTGCTGGTCTAGAACAGGTCTCTCCTTTGCGCAGGAGCCCCTGGAGCTCTGACTGGGCAGGGAGGGCATAGGCTGGTTGCAAAGCCCAGCCCCAGGCCCGCATGTTGGTGGGGGGCCGTGGGGAGCAGGGCCACAGCAAGCCAGGTCGCTAGTGTGTCTGGTGGCAGGTACAGGTCTCCTGGATCTGAGGTGGGTGATGAGGGGACACCAGAACCTGCTCACGCAGACCACTCGAGGTAATTCATTCCAGAAGAGAAAGGACAGAACAGCAGAAAGTCCCAGTAAAGTCAGAGAAGTTTGCAATACTGCCCACTCCGGCCCCTTCAGCGGCCCCACAGCTGAAGGAACATCTGTTCAGGGCTGGCAGAGAGATTCCAAAGGACCAATACTCTGTGAGAAGCAGGCCTAGCGGGTTCAGTAGCTGACAACAGCATCCACCGAGGAAGTCTCTACCAACAGCAAAGGAAGCACGAACGTGTGCAGAGAAGGCAAACCCACAAACGCCTGAGTGTCCTGCAAGTGCCTGTCCCTCCTGTATGTGTCCCTCCTCCCCTGCAGCTCCGGAAGCCTGGCAAACAGCCCCATCAGCCCAGAGCAGAACCCTCACACCTGGTATGGGAGGTGTGTTCAAAGTGTTCCTGATTCATGGTTTAAATACAAAAGCTTGTAAATGCTAAACTCTGAGAGCATCTCTGTCATGTGTTATCCTGGCTAAAAGGCTGATGACTGCCTGCTCTTCTAGAACAGGAAGCCAGGGAGCTCTGGGGCCAAGGAGAGCCTAGCAGGGCACAGGGAGGACAGGACACCTGAGAAACGCCCTGGTCCGGAACCGCGGGAAGGGGCGCTCAGGGACACTGTGACGTAAAGTGAGCGAGGCCGAGGAAGCGGGCAGAGCGTTAGCCTCTGCACGTCCGCCTGGACGCGCAACACTGTAATTGGGATAGAGAAGTAGCAGCAGGACTGTCCCACCAGCCAACACTGGCTCTGGTGACAAGCAGCTCTCACACTAGGAGGGGCTGAGCCCCCTCCTCTCCGCTACTCATGGGAAACGCGTTCCAAGGCCACGTAGAAACTGTTCTTGTCATCTAGGCAATGCCAGCCGATGGGCCCGATTTCACAGTCTGCACAGACCAGGAACTTGACGTTGCCCACGTCCTTGGTGAAGCCAACATTCTCGAAGGTGAACATGTCGTCCACCAGCCAATGCTCCTGCAGGAGGTCGCCATCGGGACTGCCGCCGTCGGCCAGGGCGGGCTTCTTTCTCATGGATGGAAGGAAGAGCTGCAGGGGAGAGAACACACGAATGCCACGCTGAGCGTCCACGGCGCCAGCACCCCTTCTGGGCGCGGTCCTCGCAGAGACCAAAAGCGCAGGCCTGACTCTGCTGCAGGCTGCTCCTCTGTTGCCTGCAGCCTGTGCCCTGACTCTTAGGAGACAGGGAGGGGGACTGTGACCAGCTGTGGTGGTGACGGGGCTTCACTGCCATCCTGACCTTGGGCTTCCAGGCCCCAGTGGCCTTCAGGCCTCCTTCGGACACAGGTTCTGTGCTCTGCCCTCAGGTCGCAGCCGGGCAGTTCCTTCTCCACATTCAGCTCCAAAGTGACCACCTCAGGTCGTCTGCCCTAACCAAAGGATCTGAACTGACGTCCCATATTGCCCATGGTATTGTTATAATTTATTTGCTTTTTAAAAATCATGGATTTTAGGGAGACACACACACACACACACACACACAGATTTGTTCGTGCCTCATCAGTTGATCCTGTACGTGCTCTGACCAGCCCACAATCTTGGTGTATGGGGACGACACTCTAACCTACCCGGCCAGGACGCCTTTGTTTTTGAAAGCACCTTTACTGAGGCTGACATGTTGCATGCTGCATGTATTTACAGTACACGTTGATACACTCAGGCACATCACCATGATCGAGATGATGAGCACATTCATCTCTCCCAGAATTTCCTTTGCCATCCCCTCTTTATTTTTTGCTTGTCATCCTCTAAAACCGTTTTATTAGTTTACTGGCTTAGCAATTTCCCATGGCTCTCCTCCATGGGAATGAGAGCCCCTTCTGGCCCAACAACCAAGTCCCCAGTGCCTGGGACAGCGATGACAGAGCGCAGAACTCAGGTGTTTGTGGAAACGACACATGCGGGGCGTCTGCCTTTGCTCTATTCCATCACTGTTGTGAATGTGCTGGAGTCATCTTGTAAGAAACATTAAAAAGGAAAACTGAGTTCTCAAATGTGGAATACTGCCCCAGACTACCACAAAGTACACCAGCCGCAGCGCCTGGCCTTCTGCCATTCCCTACCCGCCCCGCCCAGTCGTGCACTTCCCACAGCCCCAGACTCTTCCCAAGCCAGTATGGCCTCTGGGTGCTAGTCTGCCACTGGCCATCCCAATAAAAGCAGAATGTTTTTTAAATATTTAAAAACATGCACCCTTGCTGGTTTGGCCCAGTGGACTAGTGTGACCCTATGAACCGAAGGGTCGCCGGTACAATTCCCAGGCGGGGCACATTCCTGGGTTGTGGACCAGGTCCCCCGTGGGGGACATGAGAGAGGCAATCACACACTGATGTTTCTCTTCCTCCCTTTCTCCTTCCAGGGAGGCAGGTGTGGTAACCCTGACGAGGGGGAGGCGCCCTACCAGGAAAGTTCCTGCCCCTGTCCTCCAGGAACTTGGCCTATGAGAACAGGTGTCTGTGCTGCGTCACCAGGGGAGCATCTGAGGACACAGCAAAGCACCACTGTCCCCCTGGTTACTCCGCCCTCTTTCTCACTGTTTGCCTCACCTGCCGTGCAGTGAGTCCCTGAGGCTTTGTCTCTCCTTCAGTGACAGTGGGAGCAGGCAGAGAGAGTGAGGGGTAAGCTGCTGTGACTTTCTGTGGGCCTCTGCTCCTACAAGTATTCCGGCCCATCCCCTCTACTGCCGGGTGAAGTCACACCCTGGCCACCCCTCAGGGGAGAAAATCAGGGAGGGCCTGAGCTCCCACCCTCAGAAAGTGCCCAGCAAAGGGGTGGCAGATCTCTCCTCACTGCCCCTTACCTTGTGGGTCCCTCTGGTTCTCCAAGTCCCACCTCCCAGGGTGGGCAAAACAAATAGGTTCCCAGTTGTGTGGGCATGAAACACAGAGCGGACGCCTGAGTTATTGCATATTAATTACTGCAGCATTTATTTATGTTACAGCTGCAAACCTGTTCTGCCCACTCCGTATTTAAATTCTGCAAGCCAGACCCCCCCCCCAGGACCACACACGGACACACGCACATACGTGATCTGAGCAGCAGCGTCTTGGCCTCTGGCTGCGATGCCCAGGATTACTGCGGGGGCGCATCCGGAATGAGGAGGGTTCCGCACAGACAATGGGCTGGAAATCAAGAGTCTTGTCTAACTTGAGGCAGACACCCCCCTGGCCAAGTGGACTGACTGCTTTCAGGACCCACCTGGACCCCTAACGCAGGACCGTCTCCTCAGAGACAGGGAGACACGACTCGGCGAGATTCTCTTGAAGCCCCCGTTTGCTTTTTCAAGCGTATTTTCTTTGCAGAAAACTTGGCAAGTCTGCTACGACACAGACTAGAGTAAAAACTGCTACAGCAGAGTAAACCTCTGTTGGTGTGTTTGTAGCGTCCAGGTCGGTGAGTACTTCCGGTGCTTTCACAACAAGCCCACAAGGTCTGCACCAGTCCTCCACCCAGAGGTGCAGCTCACGCCCGCCCCCTCGCCCCCCCCCCCGCCCCATGCGAACCCCCCAGGGCTTGTCCAGGCTCAGGATCTGGATCCTCTGCCTCAGGCAGGCTCGGGAGAGGACGCACCTCTGAGGCAGCGCTAGGACACCTGCCTGCGGACACGCGGCCTAGCGGGGAAAGCAGCACGAATGCCCCGAGTGCGGGAAGGACACCGCTGGCCCCCCTGTACTGTGCGTCCCTGTCTTCCATGGAGCCCGTGAGGCCATCAGGGTGGAGCCTGTGGGGAATACGGGTGACAAGCCCGCACGCAGTTGAGGGTGAAACAGAGTGAACTCCACACTTCCCTGTGGCAAGTTGACCAAAACCACGCTGTCTCCTCCACTTTCTCCCTCCTGGTGATGGAACCAGGAGAGGAATTAAGATCGGGGTCTTGGAGCCAAGAGAAACTGATCCCCAGGCCCTGAGGCTGCGGCCGCGCCAGGTCGCCCTACCTGTCGGCGGGAGAAGAGTGCGGTCCCTGGCTGCAATACGCGCGAGCCGCAACGCTGGCACAGCACCGCTTTCCGGTTCCGGCCCTCCGCGGACACCAGCTCGTTCGGAGGCGCCGCAGGCTCCATTGCCGCCGCCACTATCAGGGACTCGGACCGCGCAGGCGCAGCTCGGTCTGGTCCGACTGCGCCGGCGCGGGTCTCGGAAGGGGCGGAGCGGGTAGCCACGACCTTTTGCGCAGGCGCCCACGGCCCTGAGCTGGACTGTACTCCGCTCAGGCAGGCGCTGGCGCGCGCACGGAGTCCCCAGAGGGTCTGGCGTCAGCCAGCTTTGTGACGGGGTCACAAAGCTGGCTGACGCCAGGCGCCGACAAATCCTCTCCACGCTCACCAGGTCACCAGGCCTCTCTGATTGTTGAGTCGTTCAAGTACAGCTTGAGTCCCTTGTTTCCTGAGACCCGAGTTCAGGCCGGGGTGCAAGGGACGTTCCTGAGGCGACAGTACAGCACTCGGGTCAGACCCCGGGCTCCTGCAGGGGGCCGCTCCGGTAGGGCTGACAGCGACTGTTCTAACCAGCGCAGGCGCGCTGTGGAAACCGTGCTCCGGGTCTTTGGGACCTCCCTCCCAAGGTCCCCGCAGGGCGCAGCGAGGAAGGTCTCGGTCGGAGGTGGCTCGCTAGGGTGCACAGACCCAGCCAGACTCGGTTGTCACCACGTAGAGCCGAGCTCCAGAGTCGTAGGCCACGGCCCCTCCGCAAGTCCTCGTCTCTCTGGCAGAGACCCGGAGGTCGGTGGGCGCCCGTCACATGCCAGCCCTCGGCCCCGAAGGTGACACAGCGAAACAGTGTGTGACAGACAACTGGGCACAAGTGCAAGGGCGGGAAGGCAACACAGGAGCGGGCATGACGGGGGACCGGGGTTTGTGGGGAGAGGAAGACTACCTCTGGGAGGAAGAGAATAGGGAGCCGCGGAGGGCGGTGCGGTGCTTGGCAGACGCTGTGGCCCAGGCAGGAACTTGCAACTTCGTACCAGAAACCACCTCCCGCTTCCCGGAAATGTGCGGTGTAGGACACTGCAGGGGCCAGTGCCAGGGAAGGCGACGGGACAGAGGGAGGGGCTGGGCGCCGGGAGGCGGCCGCTACGCGAGGCCACAGGCGGAGTGGGTAGGAGGGCAGGGTCTGGAACAGCTGAGACAGCCCGGCGTCGCAGACCGCAGCTCATCAAACGTCAGCACACGAGGGAAGGGAGGGCTTTTCAAGGCTGGACACCACGTGATTGGCTGTCCGTTAGCGGCCAATCTAACGGAAGAGCGGGGCAGAGCCAAGGCGTGTGCATCCCCACAAGTGCAGATTCTGTAATCTGGGCTGAAACTCCCCAGGGGCCACCTTCGCTGCCCTCCAGGAGCTGCCGCGTCCCCAGCAGGCAGTGCCCTGCTCACAGAAATTCCTCTCTGGCTCCCCTTCCCCTGCTCTGGGAATGTTTTTCTTTGCAGTTTGGCAGGCCTTCTGCATAGCTCTTTCATGGGCCATAAACTGAAGCAAGTAGAAGGGTTTGGATGACTAAAACCCCAAAGTTCAAGCGGGTGTTAAAATGAGCCTCTTCTTGATTCCCTTTAGGTTTTTAAGGGCACTCCAAGTGAGTCGTCAGAGAATATGGCAGATTCAGGTAAAGGATTCACTGGTGAATCTCCAGTGGTAAAGAGGTGCTACCTCATACCCATGTGGAACAGAGAAGCAGTGGAGCTATGTGGCAGACACGAGGTGAACAGGTTGAAGAGTCGGCACCCACAGCTGCTCCCTATGCCTGGTCTCCCAGCTGTCTGCGGGCAGTGCTGGTTCGTCACAAACTCTCTTAAGGCATTTTACACAAATGATTTTTAATGTTTTCTTAAAAAAATACAAAGGAAACAAACTCTTTAGGTCACTTAAATTCAGGGAGAGAAAGAATGGAATTTCAAAGTAAAGGGAAAGTGCCTCCTCGTTTGTTTAGGTTGTCACGTTCCCACACTCCCAGGACCCACAAAGCAAGAATTTCACTGCACAGTGCAGGGCAGCCCTGAGTGTGGCTCAGGACTGGGCAGAGCAGGTCCTGGACCGACACGCGGGTTTTGGTTGCCCTTTGATTATTCTGTGCTGGGATGAACGTGGTTCACCCTCAGGACACAGATATGGGAATCCTATAGTAGGAAAAGGACAAAATGTACCAAACAGCAGTAAAAACCACCCATAGCGTAAGTGTACCTTTAAGAGGACAGGGCAATACCAGGTAACTGAACTTCCAGGCTGCTGCACCCCTACCCCTTCCCAAAATAAATACTATGGCAATATAACAGCAGCACCATGTCTGATTCAACAAAAGAAGCCTCTCACTCACCTGAGGAGAACCCTGCTGTGCCTGGCAGGGAATAGGGCGATTATGAAATCTTGGGTACTTCTACTGTCCCCCCGACTCCACCTCTGCCCACCTGAGGCTTGTTCTGTTTTCTTGCACAGGCTCCAGTGCCAAGAGGAGCCACACTGCAGTCCAGAAAAACCCAGGAAATCTGAAGACCCTTCAAATAACTGCCCTCCTCAGCCTTCCAGGTGACATGTCATCAAATTCAGGTTACAGCCAAACTTTGGCTCTCAAATGCCTCCCATCCCAAACAGTTCAATTCCTGACCAAGCTGTTCACGGAAAAAACATCTTGGTTGTCAAACAAAACTTTGGTTCTCAACCCAGAAAGTCCTTTCATGCTGATGTCTGTATGGTCAGTCAGCTGTGTGATTCAGTTTTCTAACAGAATTGCTTCTCGAACCATCTTCCAGAAGCAACTACGTTTGAGAACCAGGGCCCCACTGTACTTCACTTACTCCAAACCCAGTTCTGAGGCAGTAGCCCTGCCCACACGGGGGTGTCGCACAGATGTCTCCCAAGCCCCTCAGCTTCCACAGGACTCTTCCCTTTGTTTCCCTCCAGGGTGGAACTATGTTGCCACCAACTATCTGCAGACTAGGAAAGATATTTTTATCTGGAAAACAATGCTCGGGTTTTATCAAACTGACTCAAGCTGGCACCCTACCAATCCAGACAGAGGCCAGATACTACCCGCATCTAGCAGGTCATATTCACCTTCATCCTCAGCAACACAACGAGGCACAATGTATAAACCCTCCCGAGCACACGGTAAACTGGGAACAGCCAGGAAGTGCTGTCTAGACCAGGAGAGGGCCTGGCCTCTCACACCCACTCAGAGTGCATCTCTTCCCATGAGTGAGCGTCTCCCACCCTACTCGGGGACAAGTACCAGCATAAGGGGCAGTGTGTGTCAAATAAGGACCGGTGTCATCACGACACCGGTGCTTGTAATCACCCTGAGTACAGCAGGAAGTAGACATTCTGGGAACCATCTCGATTCTCCCGCCAACTGGCCCCTGGACTGGTCACTCGCTTTGAATGGTTTCCAACAAGGGTCACTTCTCTCGGAGAACACACACGCCGGCATCACAGCGCTGGGTCCCCATGGACGTCACCACTTCCCAGCTGTCGATGATGGGGTCGTAGCACTCGATACTGCTCAGCAGGGAGTTCCCGTCATAGCTGAGTGGGGAAGAAGCAAAAGCGGGAAATGAGCGTTCTGTCCCTCTCCTTACGTGTCCCACACTGAGGATGCCACGGAGACACCTCCCCTGACCTACACCCTGCGTCCACCCAACAGTGAGGATCGAACCACACTGTCCCACTGCATGAGGGCTCCAGCCTGGTTTTTAGTCCTCACCCTGCAATTGCATAAAGTCTGCCCCGAAGCACTGTGGCCCCCACATAGCATCGTGGGGTGGTCATGCAGGTGACAGCTGTCCAGGAATCAGTGCGGATGTTGTACGCTTCAACGGAAGAAAGGTGGGCTGTGCCATCAAATCCCCCCACCACGTAAATATGGTCATTCAGCAGGGCTACTCCTGCACCTGAGGAAAAAGGTGCAGGAAGTTACTAATACTGAAGTGAGGGCCTGAGTTCTAGAAAGAACATGTAGTCACTGAGGGCTGGCTGACTTCCTGGGGGGCTCAGGGATGCACACTAGAGCCAGACAGGGCTGACGTGGTTGATCCAGCACAGGCTATTCCATCTGTAAACCTGGTGGGAGTTGAAATGAGGAAAGAAAAATCAAAATGGTTCTCGCTTCCACTCATCAATTCAGACCCCGACCCTCTTCATCAGTAGAAAAGGATGAAAAAAGGAGGCAGTGAAGGTGGAAGGGAGAGGCTGTGACTGACGTTCTGGAGTCGTTTTTACCCAGAGAAGGTGACTTAGAACAGCACGTGCTCTCTGACCTGGAGCCCAGCTCCTCCACCTCAGGAAGCACCTGCAGGTGTGTCGGGCCCTGTCAGCACTCTTCCATGTAACGTGTGCTGGATGAGTGCTGCCAGAGCCTCTGCCAGGTATGACAACGCAGGCAGGGCTCTGACTGGGTGGTTCAGCTGGGTAGAGCACCATCTGGATGTGCCAAAGTGGTGGGTCCGATCCCCAGTCGGGGCACTAGGCATCAACCAATGAATAAGTAAATAAGGGGAACCACAGATCCATGTTTTTTTCTCTCTTCCCCCAAAAATCAGTAAAAAAATTTTTAATGCAAGGAGGGAACAAGGACATAAAAATGAATGAAAGAAGAAGGCTTCTGCCCTCAAGTGTACACTCCATTTGGAAGTTTAAGTTGTCTTCACAAGATGCTAGGGGAACCAGGCAAGGAGAAGAATGGAATGTGACTCATGTTTCACTGGAGTCGAAGTGAGGAGGAAATACAACTCTGATGGGCTCTGTCCTGTGACAGTGCCACCACTGCACAAGCAGACATGTGACAGACAGCCGTACTGTCCGGTCCCTTAGATCTGATGGGCCTTACCAGAGCGTTTGGTGGCCATTGGTGTCACGTTGGTCCAGTGTCCTGTATGGGGATCGTATTTCTCAACTGAATTTAAGATATTCAGTCCATCGTATCCTCCTGAAACACAAAGTAGAGGCCATTCCAGAAAGAAGGACAAATCCGGACACCGATTCCCAGTCTGCCTTTCTCTGAGTGCTTTAACCTCAGCTCTCCCTCAAACGTTCCAGTAATCCAAAGAAAAACGTGACAGCATCCCGATACGTTCTGCTTCCTTGAAAAGATAATCCCAGTTTATGGAACAACGAATAGACCAGGGTTTTAGTTCAAGGCCACTCATGAACTTAATTCTGGTAAAAAGGAACGCCCAACCCCCACAAAGGCTGCCACCCTTCCGTCCTCTCCCATCCCTGCCTCCCCAACTCAGTACCTAGACAATAGATCACTCCACCGGCCACCACCAGCCCAGCGCCTTCCCGGGCTGTCTGCATATCTCCCAGCATGCTCCACTGGTCAATGTTGGGGTCATAGCGCTCCATACTGGTGTGACGCCTGCTGCCATCAAAACCTCCAGAGACATAGATCATATCTGCTCAGAATGAACACATGACAGACTGTTAGAGGAGGAGAGATCTCTGATAACTCTCTTTTCCACCAATTCCCCACAAGTCCTCCAAATGTTTGGGAGCAAAAACAAAGTGTTTCTATGGGGTTAAATCTTATCAGTAAAGATGAAACACAGTCAAGACGTGAAACAGTGGGGCTGGATGGAATCAAAGTCCTCAAAGAGCAGCGCAATTCAGAGAAGTCCAAAAGCCAACTTCCCCCACACCACGTTGCAACCTGATCTACCAAGCTGCTGGCACTGAAGCGCCATGACAACTAAACAGCTTTGATAATACGGCTGTTTCCAAAGCAAAAGGAATACTGACCTCACCAGTGCCCCCATTTCATGCTTCTGCTAGACAACCAGGAGGGATGACCCCTGATTCAGCCATGACAGTGGAAGCACTGCCCAACACACCAAGCCTACCTCCCAGGGTGGTGGCGCCAGCTAGGCCTCGCCGGACGTTCATCGGGGCAACGGAGTACCAGACCCCATCCTCATCTGCCGTGTAGTCTAGACACTCCACTGAACTGAGGCGGGAACGGCCATCGTATCCGCCAATGACATAGATCCGGTCATGCAGAGACACAGAGGCCACATAACGTCTCTTCCGAGTGATGCTCTATGGAGCCAGGAGAGAAGAGGCACAGAGCACTTGAGCCAGGCAGGCCCCCACCCTCTGGCTCTCCTTCCCATTTCTGTCTGCACTTGGCTTTCTCACTGGCCAGCAGGAACCCCTCAGGCAGAGGCACAGCCTCAGTCTTCTCCAGCCGTCTGCCAGTTGCGAGAACGTCAGGCCTCCTGCCCGTCTGCCTCACTCCGACGCTTTCCGCTTCCCAGTATCTGACGCCTTTCTCGTCCTCAGGCCTCTGGGCTACAGACTCAGATCTATCCACAGAGTGGAAGGTTTCCCACACTGTTAATCAAAGGGCCAGGACTCGAAGACCCTAAGAGTTGGGAGGACTGAGGGAAAGAGTCCCACGTTTTCTCAGATTTATTATTGCTCATTCACCGCTGAACAGACATACCAGGGGAGAAAGATAAAAACTTCTGTGCTCAGTGTGACCTAACACCGAGCTCAGGGTAACAGAGCATGGCCAGTGAAGCATGCTGGGAGTGAGACAGCTCAGGGAAGTGCTGCCACAGTAGCATCTTACACGGGCCACTGGCATTTCCAAAGTCTAATCTAAATAGCCGAGAACTACTTCGTGAGTACCTACTGTACATATGCCCCTGCTGTGACAAACACCGTGTGGTCACAGGCTTTTCTGGTTTAGGGCTGGGCTATTTTTCTGGGCTATTTGTGACCTAGAGCCGGAGACTGAGACGAGTGAGCTCTTCCTTCACAACGGCTTTCGCCCGCACTCACTGGTAAGAAGCTCCACTCCTGAGTTTTGGGGTCATATTTCTCCACCACGTCGATGGGAGACTGCTGGCTTCCAAAGCCCCCGACCACCAGAAGCACTTCATTGGCTCCTGAGGAGAAAGGTAGGTCACATCACTGTCCCTGTCACCGGCAAGGGCACTGCCCTACCCCGTGCCATCCACCCGTGGCAGCTTCCTCCTTCCTCACCCAGAAAGGGGGTGGGTGGGTGGCAGCGCACCGTGTGCTGCACAGCATTCAAAGAAATTCCCAGTTCACAGACTCCAAATACACTGGAGCAACACTAGACAATGAACGAAATGCTTCCATACCCTTTACCTCATTTAACCCTCCAGTGACGCAAAACAGGACAGAAAGCTCAGAGCTAAAGTGACTTGTCTAACATAAGATTAAAAACAGGTCTGAAACAAGGTCTTTGCATTGTTCATGGAATGTTGTTTTCAACGACATCATGGCACCTGGCAGGGGCAGTTTCCCGCCGAGGTGCCAGCTTACCTAGGCGAGCCCTCGTCCTGGGCCCCTGCATCTGACTTCGCAGTTCAGGCCTCAGATGAAACTTCTTTGCTTCGTCAACGAGGTCCCTGCATTGGAGACTACAGCGGATGAAAGGCTAGAACACAGAGAGAACAGAGTGTAAACAGGACATTTATGATTAAGTTGTACTGATAATTAACTTCTTAATATAAAAACCAGTTTCTAAAACCCTGTGGTTCCAGGAGGCT